GGAAAAAAATGGAAACAAGGTCTTTGCAAATAGGGAAGGGTGGAGGGGGTGAAGGGAGGGCAAGGGAAGGGAGAAAAAAATAAGAACCAAGAGACTCATGTAATGGTACAATATCCCAATGATGAATGTAACTGTATTTTATACCGAAAATGTACCAATAAACTTAATGGAGAAAAAATTAACATATTCACTGGATATTTTAATCACTCCTTGTATAGTTATATTATTAAAGTTTCTCAAACAAATTGGTTTATGCTATTAGAATATGGACAGTGTCCTTTAAAGGTCATTGTGTAAAACCTTGGGCTCTCTGAGGCAGCAGTATTGGTGATAGAGAAAATTTAAACTATAGGTTAGTTATTAAGGTAGCTGAAGTAGAATAAGTAATACATTCCTTTAAGAGTTACCTTTCTCGTAACTCTTACTGTTTAAGGTGATGGCTAACTGAACCTTTGACTTGTAACCTAGCGGTAGCTAACATTTAACCTGGAGAAAAGCAAAGTAGAAATGTTTGGGTAGTTTACGATGTATGTGTTTTAAGTGCCATCTGTGACTATAACCATTAAGAGGAATTAGTTGTAAAAGAGAAACAGAAATTTTACTAAGACCACCAGGAATGAGGTAATGGCTAAAAGAAGATATAAAAGGAAATGTTAAAACAAAGGATGGGACAGACATTGATCAGACAAGTTTCTGGTGGTCCAGCCAGCTTGCAAGTAAAGGCGCTTTTTTTTTTAGCCAAATTCTGTGCCTCTGTACATTTCTTTCAGTGATTCCAGAACACTGGGAGCTGTACTATGCACATTTAAGAGTTTGGACCTATTGGATAGTCCTTAAGTCAGAGGGGTTTCCCCTTGATGACAGTGGGAACTCAGCCTATTTTGTTTTTTGTTTGTTTTTTCTCTGTATGCTTCCTGGCTTATGATAAAAATGGTGTGGTCATTAATCGTGATATGTCAACTTGATTGGGTTAAGAAATGCCTAGCAGATTAATGAAGCACACTTGGGTATACCTGTGTGTCATGCTGATGTGATCTTGAGTACTTACTATATACATGGTTCCTGACCCCTTTCCTCTCTGGTATTGTTCCCCTACTCTGCTTCCCATTACCATAAACTAAGGCTCTTTGCTTTGCCACACCATTATGCCATGATAACCTTGGAGCCAGATGGCCATGGATTGGATTCCCTGCTAATATGACCAAATTAAACTTCTCTTCCTTTAAGTGGTGGGTGTTGGGTTATTGAGTCTCGGTGATGATAAAACAGTAATACCGAAAATTGGTTTCAGAGAAGTGGGATTATTGCTGTGACTATATCAAAGGCTTAGAAGCCTTTGCAATTGGTTACCAGGAGGTTTTCGGAAAATTTGATGAAGCAGGCTAGAAAAGGCCTAGAATACTGTTAAGTAGAGCTTGATAGGTGATTCAGATGGGAACTCAAAAGACCAGAATGCTGACAGAAATTGGGATAAGAGAGAGCAGGTTCAGGAGGTTTCAGATGGGAACAAACATTGTGTTGGGAGATGAACTTTTCAGGAGCCTGGAGATTAAGGGCAGTAGACTGACTGATCTCAAGGAGGACATTTCAAGACAGCCCAACATTCAAGCTATGGAATGGTACTGCTGGCTGCTTTCAGCCATATTTAAGGAGAGAAAAACACAGCACAAAAATTTGAAAAACTTAAAATTTGGCCTACAAGGAACTTAATGTAAAATTGGGACCAAAGGAGGTATGGCTGCTAAAGTGTTTAGAATCATAAAAAAATACCTGAACAAATAAAAACAAGCACCTTGTACACAGACAAGAAGATGCCTTGAGGGCATCTCAAGAACTAGTAAGACTCCACCTATCCAAGGCTCAAGAGTGTAAAAATTTCCAAATTTCCTTTGAGAAAATAGTCTCTGAGACATCATCTTGAGAAGGGATGCCGGCTGAAGAAAGGCTTCTAGAAGTATTTAGTTCTAAAATGTCCCCCAAAAGTCTCATGTGTTAGTAGGTGGAGGCTTGTTGGAGGTGGGTTACTGGAGGTGTGATCTGGAAGGGTATATTCCTGTTTCCAACTCCTACCCAATTTATCTGTTTCGTAGCTGTCATGAAATGAGCAGCTTTCCTCTTCAATTCCCTTCCAGCATGCCACTTCTGCCTTGGAGTCAGCCAGCCATACACTGAACCCTCTAAAACCATAATCATAGAAAGACTCTCCTCCTTTAAATTTTGAGTGTTGGGTATTTTATTCCAGTGACAGAAAAGATGACAAATACAGCCTCCTGGGGAATTGGTTTCACTTTGCACAGCATTCAGGTACTCAGAGACCATTGCAGCCATGGTCAAGGGCCTGCCTACTGCTTCCACTAAGAGGAGAATTTGGCATCATGCATGAGATGTTGGTTTTACTGGTATGCAGAATGCAAGAGTTATGGGGTCAGGGAGGCTTCCAGCCACATTTCAAAGGAAGGTCTAGGAAAGAAGGTAAGGAGCTCAAGAAGGCAGGGTATGAAGCTGTGGGAATAAAGCTGAAAGTGCAGGGGAGACCTCAGGAAGTAAAAAAGGCCAGGATTATGCAATGTTTGCCTAGAAAACCTGTAAGTGAAGCTAACCCTAGAGAGGCCATGTGGGCTGCAACCAGCAAAGCCGTAGGGGTGAGGCCATCCAAGGCCTCTGGATTTCACATCTTACCACCACCGTGCTTCAGATGCTGGATATGGAACTACAAGGTTTAATATTTGCCCTGCTGGATTTTGGTTTGAATCTTTTCCATCCCCTTATTCCTCCTTTTTAGAATGGGAATGTTTACCCTGTATAATTGTAGCTTGGTATTATGTAATTTGTTTTTTATTTTTACAGAGAATCACAGTTAAAGTTTGCCTTGAGTTTCAGAAGAGACGTGCACATTTGAAAAATACTGGAATTGTCAATACTTTGGGGATGAGATTATTGCATTTTTGGTTGTATGCAAGATAGTTGTATCATATTAAGAAAAATTATTGGTTTATTATTGTGTTTATTTCAAGATTAACCATGATTTAAGGAGATTTGAGTGTCAAGTTGAGAAGGGGTGGAATGTGAGTGTTGTGATATGTCAATTTGAGTGGATTAAGAAACATCTAGCATGTGAGCAAAGGGCACTTTTAGGTGTACCTGGGTGGGTTATGGAACACGACCTTGGTATTATGTATGATTCCTGGCCCATTTCTTCTCTGACACTGTTCTCTGCTCTGGCTCTCAGCTGCTAAATCTAAGCAGTGTAGCTCAGCCACACCCTTCTGCCATTATAGCCTTAGAGCCAGATGATCTGAAATGAATCCTCTGAATGTGTGAGCCAAATTAAACCTCCTTTAAGCTATGGATATTGGGTATTGTGTTGAAGTGGTTCCTTGCTTCACTAACTTAATTCTTTCCACAATTCTGGTTACAAACCAAATTGGATAAGAACCAAATGAAATTCAATGGTTAATCTGATTCAGTTCTCATCCAATTTGATTTGCAACTAGAATCATGGAAAGATTTAAGTTCGTGAACAGAGGTATCACTGTACAAGTAGTTGTTCTAGCATGTGCTCCCACTACAATATGCTTCTCTTGGACTGTAATCTCCATAAGCATGAACCAAAATAAATCCTTTTTATTATAAGTTAATTATCTCAGATATTTTATTATATAAATTAAAGCTGATTGATATACTCTATAGCACTTCTTTTTAGCAAATTTTGTTACCATCAATTATGGTATGCTGTGCTGACTGTTTAGTTGTAGTTTTCTGCACAACAAGGACTGCTTCCCTGAAGAGATGTTTGTAGAAATGAAATTTTGAGGTTATAACTGTTAATTCTTCTAAGGCTGTTGAAACAAGTCACCAGATCCTTTCTATGAAGGTTAGGTCTTCTCATACTCATTCCTTATGTTATCACTTTAAAGTATTTTGAAAAGAAACTCTGAGACCTTGGAGTTAAATATTTCTTCTTTTGTTTCCTGTCAGGAGAAATATGTGCTTGTTGCATACTAATTTTTAAATTACAAATTTATGTAATTTTGCAAAATACTGGCAAATTCAATCATACTTTAGCTGAGAGGGAAAACTGCTGAAAAAGCAATTTGTATCATAGGCTGTAAGCTATTTGTTTCTGCATCACCTGTAATAAAAGTCTGACACATAGTAGGCATGCACTATTGAACTTCATTTTTTTCATTTTTTCTGTTACTACCAAATACTTTTTTTTTTTTTTACTGAACTCAGGGACTTGTGCATGCCAGACAAGTGCTCTGAGCTACATCCCCAAGCCCCACAATATTTTATAAATAAAAAAATAAACTTCTAATATTTTTTTAGTCTCATACTTTTGCCTGATTTATTTTGGAATGTTTCATGAATGAGTACAGTTCATCATCATGCTAACAATTACAATTTCACAATCCATCAGTGTTTTTATGTCACTAAAAGTGGCAAAAAGACTGAGAAAGTTTCTGTTTTCCTACAGTGATAGCAGCCTAAAAATTCCTCAATAGAGGAATTAGACGAATCTCACTGTTTAGGGAAGATATTTTGACAATAATGTGAAAAATTATACTCTTATGTATAAATAAAACATATATTTCTTTAGCATATGCTTATTTTAACTGTAGTTTTAGGACACACCATCTATAAGGGCATATTTTACAAGTTTTTAATGAAGGTAATAGAATTTTGATTAACACTGAATTTTGAATATATGACTAGCTAGTCATGCCTGTAAAATAGCTGACATGTGGCAGGACAATCATTTCAGAGAGTGACACTGAAAAGTCCAACTTAGAATGCTAGTATCAAAGGTGTGGCCTTCCAAAGAGGAGAGCTTACTTGCCCAGATACTAACATTCAGCTCTCGATATAACCCAAATTAAATCCAAGGCAAATATAATCATCCTCATTCTGTATGTGAGAAGCCTGATATTCAGAATTTAAGAAGTATCCTCACTGTCATAAAGACAAGAGTTGTATAACTGGAATGTGTACTAGGTACTTTCAATACCAGAATTTGCAAACTTAACTGTTTGCTTTGTTTCATCCCTAGGCAATAAAAATACAGCACTGACGAGAATGTAGTGAACCACAGTAAAGCTCAAATTGACTTCTTAATTAACCATTAAGAGCATGTCACTCTTTTTAAGTCTCTACATCTCATGTTCTACTAGCTATACCATTATAGGCAGCTAGTCAGATATGAGCAGTGGGGGTGGGGGGGTCACCATAAGTTGTTCTTTTTGGCAGGTAGTTGAGACTGATTGAGCTGCCACCAACTGCTCTCTCTGATGACAGGAAGTAGGGTGTTGGACCAATATGTGAAATGGCCTCAACCAATTGGTAAAAGATCCTAGGTGGAGAGATGACCACAAACTAACCATAAAGCAGGACTAAGAATTTTCCACTCAGTGGGCATGTGCCCTGACTGCCCTGAGCATACCTGGGGTGACCTGTCCTCTTTATTACCTGCTTAAGGCTCTAGGGAAGAGGGGGAAATGCACGTACACTTCAAAATTGAAGGTAGTGCAGTGGTAAATCATGAATATGTAAGAATATGGTGGGGAATAAACAAAGTCAAAAAGTATACCAAAATCAAAGAAACTAAAACAAAGAAACTCATGTTGGCCACACTCTGGGGTTGTCCTGGCTTGTCTGTGAGCCGTATCCTGCTTTGCAACAAATTCTTTTCATTTTGAAACCACTTCTTCACTTGCCAGGGATCTGTAAGGTGGTCCTAGTGAATTCCTCTCCATCACCAAGACCAGGAAACTGAAAGGTGACATCATAACATGGCTTTGAAATAGAATTCTTCACTTCTCTGAGTCTCAAAGTTTCTCCATCTGAAATACAAGGATAATACCACTGCTATGATTTCAATATGGTTTGTCCCCTATGAAACTAATGTTGCAATTTAATCCCCATTATGAGATACTAAGATGTAGTAAAAAGTGAGATCTTTTATTCATAAGTGAAATAAATAGGACATACATGTGTAAATACCGAATAGTTTTTCTGGTGTGAGAAACTGAAAGTGTATATAAGGATCAAAAGGCATAATAGATTATGTGAAATAGGAATAAAAGGAGCAAAGGGGAAGGGGAAGTCAGAGGGGTTGGGGAAAGGAAGAAGGGAATGGAATTAATATGAGAAAAGGAAAAAATGGAAACAAAGTCTTTGTAAATAGAGAGGCGTGGAGGGCTTGAAGGTAGGGCAGGGGAATGGGGAAAAAATAAGAACCAAGTTATATTATGGGAAGGTACAAATTTCCAATGATGAATGTCATACTGTATACCTAAAATGTAACAAAATTTAACTTAAAAAATGAGATCTCTAAGAGACGATTAGAGTCTGTACTCATGAATAGATATAATCAACCCATGGAATTAATGGGTTTTCTTCAGAGTGGGTCTGGTATGAAAGTCAGTTTGACTAGGTCTCTCTTGTGCCTCATGTTTCTTGGTATATGATTCTCTGCATAACTCTGGGACTCTGCCAGCATGAAAGCCTTCACTAGATATGGGCCCTGGACCTTGGACTAGAAGCATGGACCAAAATAAACCTTTCTTTATAATTGACCAAGTCTGTGTATTTTGTTATTTAGCAACAAAACACACATTAAGCTTTTCTAACATTTAAGGCTTATGTGTACAAAGTACGCACATTGCCTGACACAGTGATCATGAAGGCTATAACTTAGTCCCAGCTCTAAATGTTAAATATTTTATAAATTGTATACCAACAGCATAATTAGTAATTTTTAAATTCCCTTTTTCCTCAAAATGATAACCAAAAAACATCTAAAATGTATTAGGCTAATATACTTCTGAAAGACAACAAGGGTGAAATACAACAGATTATATCTCATGTTACATGGAGGGGAAAAAGCAAGAGATGCATGTCCTACACAAAAAGAATAAGATCTGGGGAAAGACTATTTAAAATGAATTAACATAAAAGACTCAGATTTCATAGTGTAAGTGGAGGAAAAAAGACTTTGATGAGACTCTGGAAAATTAAAGTAACAACTAGGAAAATAAATTTAACTTTAGCAAAAATCTAGACTATATATTGCAGTCTACTATAAGAAAAAGGAAAAGAGGACAAGGAATTAGTTTTAATCTGGTGAGTGACTTAGGAGTTGATACTAAAATGCATGAGTATTTCATTTTCTCCATGAACCAGAGATATCTTAATTATTGCACTGGAATGCCTTTTAAAAAAAGATATCTGTTATAAAAACACTGTCATTTCTATGAGGTGCCCAGTAAATTAAATCACTATTCCACATCACTTTAATTATAGATATTAGAAATAATGCCTTACTGTACTAAAACTACAAATATCTAAGTAAACATTTTAGCAAATGTGGAACTACATGCTCATAGGTTTTCCTTTTTTTGTTTTATTTTACTATTATTATTATTATTTTTGGTACCGAGGATCAAACTCAGGACCTTGCACTTGCCAGGCAGGTGCAGTGCCACTGAGTAAATCCCTGGCCCACTCATAGGTTTTCCTAAAAAAAAAAAAAAAATCTTCCTAAACCCATAAATATCTCATTAAGCAATATCCTGTCTCCTAGACAAAACTTTTAGGCCTCCAAATGGTAATGAAATTCACCTAAAAAATACTAAACATAATTATGTGTATATGTAACAAATTTTCTCTCCAAAAAAGATAGACATTTACACATAAAACATATAAACTATATATAAAGATATATACTCTTGGGCTGGAGATTCAGCTCAGTGGTTTTGCCGCCTGCTGCACAAGTGCAAGGACCCAAGTTTGATCCCCGGTACCAAAAAAAACCAGATATATACTCTTTACCATAATCTTAAAATCCCTCACATATAATGTCATACCAGGGCACTGTCTTTGCAAAATGGAAGCAATTTGTGGGAGGCAGTAATATACATGCAAGTCTCTGGAATGTTTTCTCTGTGAGCAAAGAAGAGTATTTAGCTTTAGCTATCTTATGAGCATTTAAAATTATCTAAAAATGATAATAAAAGTCAGGAAAAGCTCTTTGTTCACTGAAGTGGTATTAAATATAATCTTTCTACTGTTATCAGAAAAGAAGTTGTGTGACCACAATACTAAGTATAGTTCTAGTGAAATTTTAATTCTTTAAGCAGTGTATCTTTAAGAATAGGGGGAAAAAACACTTCCTGTCTGATAACCAGTTAGAAAGAAACTTTAAAAGACCCTATGGAAAGTTTAACAAATTTGCTGTTTCCCTCTAGGGCAATTTTTGTACCAAAAAAAGAGAGGAAACCCCAAAGAATGAGAAAGACACAAAGTTGTTTTTTCCAGAATTTAATATTTTAAGAAGACAAAAATATAAGTTATCAAAAATTTAAAGGTTCATTTGGAGACTAAATATAGAGATTGAAACTCTTCATAATTGATACATGGTAAAAAGTTAAAAAAAATTTAAAAATCACTAGCAGTACAGCTGTTCAATATAATGTCCAGCTACAAAAAAGGTGGGACAAAGTTAGTTTGACTGAACAAACATATATGTCACGACCTTAGTAACAAATTTCAAAATAGTTACAGTTCTGAAGTTCCAAAATGAGGATCATCTTGCCCGCCTGGATTCTACTTCTTCAAGAATCCACTCAATGCCACTCAAAAAACCAGTGAGAGTATCAGCCACCATATCTTGGACCTAGGAATAGATAAAAGTAAATATCAGTAAGAAACTGAGGCCAAAATCTTATGATTAGAAGGGACATTTTTCTAGGCATTAAAACAGGTTTAAAATCCCAAAACATTTTTGGATATTTTGATCAAGGACTGTCTTCTAGCACTTAGATAAAAGTATGATACGCTCTTATATCCTTTCTTATACTAAGAAAAACAAAGAGAAGACCCAAAGAAATTAATGAGATGAAGAAAAGATACATTACAACTGGTATCACAGAAATACAACAGATCATCAAATAAAAACTATTATGAGCAAATATATGCCAACAAAGTGGAAAACCTAGAAGAAATGAAAAAAATTCTGGACACATGTAATCTACCAAAATTTAACCATAAAGATCCAGAAAACCTAAACAGATGAATAATAAACAGATTGAATCAATGACAAAAAGTCTCTCAACAAAGGAAAGTCCAGGGCTGGATGGCCTCACTGCTAAATCCTACAAAATTTTAAAGGAAGAACTAATACAATCTTTCTCAAACTATTACAAAGTATTAAAAATTAAAATATTAAAAAGTAGATTCTTCCAAACTCATTCCACAAGGCCAGCATTGCGCTAATACTAAAGCAGATATGGACACAACATAAAGAAAAAGGTATAGACCAGCATTTCTACTGAACATAGATGTAAAAATGTCCAATAAAATACTAGCAAACTAAATCCAACAGAAGATCAAAATGATCAATCATTCTGATCAAGTGAAATTTATCCCAGGAATGCAAAGATGGTTCAAAATAATGAATATAACACATCATATCAACAAAATTGAAGATAAAATCATATTATTATTTCATTAGATGCAGAAATCATTCAATAAAATTGAACATCACTTCATGATAACTCTCAACAAGTGAGGTATATAAGGAAAATATCTCAACATAATAAACATACTGAATAGCAAAAAGCTGTTTTTTCTTTTTTCTTTAGTCAAGATTTAGGATGAATTTTATTTACAAAAATTTCTTTTATAAAAATTATAAAACATGGCTTAAAAATAGAAACAACTTCTCAGACTCTTAGGAACTTCTTTTAAGCAAGCAAAGGGTTGTAACTCAGGTGGTTTCCTTCTTTTTGAGAGCTGTAACAGCAACACTCATGGCTGTTGTGTCTTCTCTCAAAATAACACAGGGACCAGCTGTTTCTGACACAAAGTTCCCCAGTCAGGTCAGAATTTGAAGCAGTAAGTTCTTCTCATTAATGCAGAACCTGTGCATGATCAGATTCTTGTCACAGTGGGAGATCTGGCACTCTGTGGCCAGGTAGACGTCCTCCTTCACACCTCTGGTGATGCCCTTAATGACTGGGTGGTACTTGATCAGCATTCTTTGATTTGGTAGTATCTTAGTTACTTTTCTAATTGCTGAGACAAAATACTCAACACCCAAAGGAAAGTTTTATTTCAACTCACAGTTTGTACAGATTGCAGTCCATAACCAAGGCAGAGTGGCATGGTAGAGAGGCATCACAGAAAAGAAACAGTTCATGGCAGGCAGAAGGCAGCAAAAGCAGCAAGCAGCAAGCAATGACAGCAGCCTTCTTTCTGTCTCTTATATTCTATCCAGGTGACATGCCCTTAGGCAGGTAGCCCTCACACCCAGGGTGGGCTTTCCCATTATCTACACCCAGAGCTATACCAAACCAATCAGTGGACTAATTTAGTAATCACACACCCTTAATCCCAGCATCCCACAATCTAGATCCAGCCACCTCTGAAAAGCCCCACCTATGACCACATAAGGCTTTGTGGGGGGCATCTAGACACAAGCCACAATAGGCTGTAATTCTAGATAAATTTTTCTACCTTCTTAAGTTCTCAAATAGACATTATCAATGATTGTAACATAACTGAAAAAATTCTCATACTAGGGAGTTCCTTGTTGGCAAATTCCTTATTGACAGCTTTCAAGAAAAGATTCTCACCCTATGGCCACTCTCACTAAAGCATATGATCGCATGCCCTAGTGCCATGTCATCACTGATGTGCATAATAACTTTACTCATACAGCAAAGAAGCTTCAAAATGGACCCTTTTCTAAGTGTGAGCTTTACTTTTGAGGGTTCTTTCTGAGATTTGCCTCCATTGGATAGTATCACATAGTACATCAGGTCAAGGACTTTTTCACATATCATCTTGTATTTACCCAGAGGAAAGTGACATGTTGCCAGCTAGATGAGCAACCTGCGATGCTCTAATGTCCTGGGATCTGTGGCTGAGAAAGTGATCTTTGGAGAGCTGCCAAATGATGCAGGCAGGCTATTACCTTTTTATATTGACCCTGATAGATGATCGTATCAGTGAGATTCTTAATCATAGCCAAGTATCCATCCTCCATGCCAAACAAATTATTTCAAATTCTCTTTCAAGAATTTCTAGAGAATAGAGCTTTCCCTGGTCAATTTAAGAATGCATTCCAGAATGTCTACAGCATACAGCTATCTCTCTTCCAAGGTCCTAATGCTCCAAATCAAGTTCCACTGGTTATTCTTGGCCAGCTCCCCCTGGCCAATTTAAAGTTTTCTAGTATTTCAACAGAGTTAGTGAGTTCTGCTTTACTGAGAACAAGGTGACAGTTTCTTTCTTTTGCTGCACAATCTTTATCTGAACTCATGGTTTGTTTCCTTCCCTCAGCTAGTTTCCTCTTTTTACATACATGTTTATTGTGATAACTTTCCACATCACTATACAAATTTAATACATCTTCAAGAAGAAACAGTGGAACTTGGTTTGGTGCATTAGGATCTTGGAAGAGAGATGGCTGTATGCTGTTGACATACTAGGATGCATTCTTAAAGAAGACCAACATAGTGGAATAAACTACTTGGTTTTTATATTTTGCATGTGTTTCATCATCAAAGTTGTTGATGCAGGGCAGGGATTTAGCTCAGTGGTTTTGCCACCTGCTGTGCAAGCGCAAGGACCCAAGTTTGATCCCTGGTACCCCCCCACAAAAAAGTTGTTGATGTATCTGCAGAGGTCCTTCATTCTACACAATATATCATTATAGTTTAGTCTTCCTTTATCCATCTGCAATTCATACCTGATTCCAACAATATTCAAAATGTTAAAAAACTTCTCCCAAAGGTCTATAATCTGGGAGGATTTTTCACTCAGTCCTTCTATTACATACTTCTGGGAGCTACACTTGCTGGGCAATGTTAAATCAGATGTATCTTGGGCACCTATGCTGATTTTCCATTTGAGTATACCTAGTGAAATAGGTGGTATAGAATACAGCTGCTTTGTTCAAGTATTTATATATTAAATTGGCAGGCAACCAAATACCATGGTTGTTAATTAAGTACATCACAAACAAATAATGTCATAAAGCAGTTAACAGGAGATTCTTGCTCCTCAAGAGTTTCAGCTTCTAATAGTACCTCCCAAATTACACCACTGTTTCAGGGAAGCACCATCAAAGGCAGGAGCAACATTTCTGATCATTCCAATGTGTTAAAGCATTATTCTGTGACCTTTAGTGACATTTCACACTGGATCCAGCCAGGAAGTGTTTCAAACTTTTTAAAACCTGAGTTTGTTTATCCTGTTCCTTGATGCTGATGTAATAATGCTGATTTCTCTCCATACCTCCAGCTGGTTTGGGAAATTCAAACATGACGTACAGCAGCCTCCAGTGGTGTTGGTCTGCTCTACATTCTGCTCAACAGCGTACATTTCATACTGGATGTGAAAGTCAGCCTGCTAGAGGGTGCAGTCTGTGATCAGCCACACCTTAGATGCTTGTAAATCCTGGGACACCAGCTCCCAGGCTTGCTGCACCAGAAACCTGCTGTCACCCTGGGCAGTCAGGGATGTGGTGTCAAGGAGTCTTCAGCTATTGTGGTTGCTGGTGCCTAGACTGGGGCACCATTGCCACAATTGCCCAAGAGAGGAAAAAGCTTTTTCTTTATGATCTGGAACACAAGGAATGCTCACACTCTTTACTCTTATTCAACATAGTTCTGGAAGTCTTGGACAGTGCAATTAGGCAACATATAGAAATAAAAGTCATATAAATAAAATGAAGGAAGCTATTTGTGGATTACATAATTTTGTATATGGAAAAATCTAAATACTTCACTAAAAGACTATTAGAAATGATAAATTCAGTAAATTTGTAGGATAAAAAAAATCAACATACAAAAATCAGTGGCAATTTTATCCACCAATAATGAGATTGCTGAGAAGAAGATTATAAAAGCAATCCCATTTACAATAGTTACAAAATATCTAGGAATAAATTTAACCAAGGAAATGAAATATGAATCTCTACAATGAAAACTATAAAACTCTGATGGAATAAATTGAAGAGTACACAAAAAAATGGAAAGGCCTCTCATGTTCATAGATAAGAATTAATGTTATAATGCCCATATGCCCAAAATGATTTACAGATTCAATGCAGTACTTATCAAAATATCAATGTTATTTTCACAGAATTAGAAAAAAACAATCCTAGCATTTATAAGGACTTACAGAAGACTTCAAATAACCAAAGAAATCTTGAGAGAGACAAAAAGCTGACTTCAAAAATATATTACAAAGGTATAGTAATAATAATAAAAATAGCATGGTGTGGTGGCATAAAAACAGATATACAGATCAATGGAATAGAACTGAGTGCCCAGAAATAACTCAATGCATTCACAGTCAACTGATTTTTAACAAAGTTGCTTTAAAAATGTACTAGAAAATAAGAAAGTTTTTTAATAAATGGTGCTGGGAAAATTGGGTTTTCACATGCAGAAGAATGAACATAGATCCCTTTTACCAGTTACAAAAATGAACTCAAGGTTGATTAAATACTTAAATGTAAGACATGAAATAATGAAACTACTAAGGGAACATATAGGGGAAATGCATTAGTGAATTGGAATGGATAAGTATATTTTGTACAAGACTTTCAAATCACAGGAAACAAAAGAATAAAATCAACAAAATAGAATTATATAATACTAAAAAGTTTCTATACTTCAAAGGAAACAATCATCAGCATCGAGAGACAACCTAGAGAATGAAGAGTATTTGTAAAATATACTTCTGGCAGGGGATTTAGCTCAGTGGCACTACACCTGCCTCGCAAGTGCAAGGTCCTGAGTTCGATCCCCGGTACAAAAAAATATGTGCATATATATATACACACACATATATATATATATATATATGTATATATATATATATTTCTGACATGAGACTGGCATCCAAAATATATCAGGAATTCCAAAATCTCAATAACAAGAGAATTCATAGTACCAAAAATCAAGAAATGCAATCATATCTAATTAAAAAGCTTCTGCACAGCAAAAGAAACAACCATCAGGGTGAAAAACAACCTACAAAATGGGAAAAATTTTGATAGCTATTCCTCAGTTGTAGGACTAATTTCTAGAATATATAAAACACATTAAAAATATTAGACTGCCCCCAAATAAAAGACCCAACAAAAACGGGCAACTGAAATGAACAGACACTTCACAGAAGTACAAATGACCAATAAGTATATGAATGTTTAACGTCACTGGCTATTAAATTCAAATTAAAACACTGAGATTCATTTTACCACACAAAGAATGGCCATCATCAAGACCAAATAATAACAAATGCTGATGGGACTGCAAGGAAAAAGGAACCCTTTTACACTGCTGGTGGTAATGTAAACTAATACAACCACTTTGGAAATCAGTATGGAGGTTCCTCAAAAAGCTGACCCAGCTATTCCCCTTCTAAGTATCTTCCCTAAAAAGTTAAAGACATCATATTACAGTGATATATTCATTCCCATGTTTATAGCAGCACAATTTACAATAGTTAAATCTTTGAAGTAGCTTATATGTCCATCAACAGATGAATGGATAAAGAAAATGTGGTATTAATACACAATGAAGAAACTACTCTGCCATAAAGAAAGTTAAACTTGGATCATTTGTAGGAAAATGAAGGCACCATGAGACCATAATGTTAAGGGAAATAAATCAGACACACAAGTTTAAATATTGTAAGTTTTCTCTTATGTGAGAAACCCAAAGGATAAATAAAGAGCAAAAAAAGACAATAGGAAGCAGAGAGGTAGATCTTTCTCAAATGGGAAGAGGGTCAAGAGATGGAGGGAGGGGGAGGGAGGAAAGGGAAGGGGATGAAAATGGGAATGAAGATGCGTTATGTACATGTACGAACTCCAAACAAGGAATGTAAACATTATGTATTGTAAATGTGTACCCCAAACAGGGAAGGGAATCAGGGATGGATGGAGGAGGAGGGAGAGAAGGGAAAGAGGATAAAAAAGGAATTATGTACATGTACCAATTCCCTACAAGGAATGTAAATACTAAGTACACAAATATTTACTAATAAAATAATGAAAACAATTCTAAAAAAATGGACAACTGACAGACATTTTATAAAAGGAGGCATACAAATGGTACATGAAAAAAATGTTCAACATGTTGATCATCAGAGAACTACAAATCAAACTCATAATGAGATATTACTTCATTCCTTTAACTATTATCAGAAAGACAAAAGTTCTGGTCAGGATGTGTAGAAAAGGAAATCCCTATACACTATTGATGAGAATGTAAATCAGCATAGTCATTATGGGAAACAGTATGGAGATTCTTCAAAAATTATAAATAGAACTATCATATGATACTGCAATCCCATTAACAGGTATATGTATCCAAAGGAAATGAAATGTCAGAGACATCTGTATAGCCATGTTCATTGCAGTGCCATTAACAATTGTCAAGACATGGAATCAATAAATGGATAAAGAAAAATATTATATATATATATATATATATAGATATATATATACACACACACAATGGACTATTTATCCAGAAAAAAAGAAAAATAGCCATTTGTGACATCAACATGAAATGAAGGTCATTATGTTAAGTAAAATAAGCGAGACACAGAAAGACAGATATCAATGATCTCACTTATATGTGGAATCTTAAAAAGCTAAGGGTAGAGGTACAAGATCCCAATGATGAATGTAACTGTATTGTATACCTAAAATGTACCAATAAACTAAACGGGAAAAAAAAGCTAAGAGGCTGGGGAGAGTAGGCAAGAGGAAGGGATAGAGAAAGGTTGATCAGTGGTACGGTGTTACTATTACATAGGAGAAAGGAGTTCCAGGGTGGTATATTTTCAAAAAGTAGAAATCACAATTTGAATGGTTTCATTATAAATGATACATGTTAGAAGAAATCAGTATATTTAATCTTAGATATTTCACAATGTATACTTTTGTTGAAATATAACATGATACCCTACTTTGTATAATTTTTATATTTTAATATGTTAAAAATAAGTTTAATAATTTTTAAAAGTGTTGAAAACTGCCTCTCCTAATGGTAGGGCTAAAACTCCCACCACTCAGGAGGGTACACCTTTATTATTGGCCTTCATACTATATTCCAGAGTTGCTGGAGCACCAGGGGAAAAAGATAAGGGAGGAATGAAGAAAACTCTCTAAATGTTTAGCAAAAACATTTCCAACTTTAACTTTTAAAATATTTTATACATAGATTTTCATGTCAGATTTCATTTGAAGGATCTCATAAAATAAATTTTGGAAAGCAAAAAACTATAAGATACAATCTGTTTTTTATTATGTTTTTAGTGGTTCTGAAGATCAAACCTAGGGCCTCATGCATGCTAAGCAAGCACTCTACCACTCAGCTACATCCACAACCCACAACAACCTATTTTTTATGATTTTTAAAGCATAATATATTGATGCTATTGCCATTGTCAGGAGAGACAACTAGGGAGGAAGAGGCAAGGACTGATCATCTGAGATTTATTAACACCAATCAAATAGCTCCTACCAATTAAACTCTTAAAATTTACGTTAGAATGCCAGTCCATTAAAGAGTATGAATAAGAAACAAGGAAACTAGTATGATTTGAATAAATAGCCCAAAGACCCACTTTTTAAAGGCTTGGTCCCCAGCTGGTAGTACTGTCCAGAGGTGGTGAAACTTTTAAGAGGTGGGGCCTTGTGGGAGATCTGGTTACTGGAGCCCTGTCCTTGAGGTGGATATTGTGTCCCAGCTCTTTTCTCTTCTTTCATTCCTGGACAAGACCTGAATGGGCTTCCTTTGTCATGATATACTCCCTCACCACAGGCCCAAGAGCAACAGACCAAACCAACCATGGACTGAAAGTTCCAAAACTGAGCAAAAAAAGAGAGAAAAATCCTGCAATAATAGGCACTGAACCCAGGGCCTTCTTAATTTTTTTTTTAAAGACAAGTTCTCACTAAGTTGCTGAATTATTCAGGCTGGGCACAAACTTTCAATCCTCTTCCCTCCCTCCCAGAGTGCTGGGATTACAAGTGTGCACCACCACATCTGACTCCTCTTCTCTTTTTAAGTAGATTACCTTAGGTAATTTGTTACATTAACAAAAAGCTAACACAAAACTTACATAGAAAATAGAATAAAAAATGAAATTTTTATCACCAGAAATCCTAAGGCCTTACCATCCATGGGTGGTTTAGACGGCTGAGATGTAGCTCATTGGCCAAATAAAAACAGGGCATTCTTTTCACATGTGCTTCAGAAATACAAGATAAAACTAGCATTGGTCTTCCCGAAGATCCAAAAGCTGGATCTGTCATTGCCGTAATATGAGAAAATTCATCTTGCCATTCATGTCCTAAAGAATATAAGTTAAAACTGTTAATTTTCATTTGTAAAAGTTTTTTAAATAATAAATAAAATTAAAAATTAACAAAATAAGGGAACAAAAAAATTTACCATGATTCAAACCTAACAAACTCCCTCTATTGCTGGTATTCATTCATTGTTCTGCCATAAAACTAGATCAAATAGCTTTTTGAGGATAATTTAGGTGAAGCAAGAGGGCAGAAAATCACAATAGCATTCAAATGTCTCTAGAGATGAAAAGTAAAAATCCTTGGAATAGATATTTTTCTCTCAAAAAATGTAGAGCTGTCTTATTTTTAAAATTTAAGAAGATAGTTGAATCTAGCTTTTTAAAAAAATCCAAACTAAAAATATCTACTTTTTACTGAATGTACAAACTATTTACACATTGTGGTAAGCAGAATTCTAGTATGAACCCAGGGCACCTGGATAAATCCTTCCTCCCTTGAAGTTGGAGAAACATGCAAAAATGAGATATCACTCCTAGGACTAGGTTTTAAGACACAGGTGACTTTAAGAGAAAGCTGGAGCTAATGAGATGAGCCCTTAAAAGGGTTCTTTCTGCTGAGGGGGATTAGATGAAAGAGATAGTCTCTACTTCTGGATTTGAAGATGGAGGAAGTCACATGACAAGGAATTCAGGAAGCCTCCAAAAGAGCCGTCTTCAGATAACAGCCAGAAAAAACTTGGGACTTAAGTCCTATAACAATAAGAAACTGAACTCAGGCAAGGGTTTTAGTGAATTTGGAAGTGGATTCTTCCTCAAAGCCTCTTGAAGAGTGTAGAATCCATCTGATACCCTAACTTCAACCCGTAAAATGAGAATGCACTTCTACCACTCCTAGACTTCTGATACAGAGAACTGTGTTCCAATAGGTATTATTTTAAACTACTCAATTTGAGGTAGCTTGTTTTATATCAATTGAAAATAAATAAAATCTTAATCTGAATATCAACATGGCACATTTAAATCTATCATTGACCTTAGATTTTGACTGTCCAATCCATTCTTCATTCTTTTGCTTTCTACCATGTGAGAATTCAGCAAGAAAGCCCTCACCAGACAACAGGAGCTGATGCCTTATCTTAGATCTCTTTGCTTCCAGAACTATAATAAATAATTTTCTGTTCTATATATTAGTCTGTGGTATTCTTTCATAGCAGCATGAATGGACTGAAACTTTCACCTTTTGTCTGGATAAAGGATTTTTTTTTTACCCTTAAAGTATCTTCTCTTCATTGCATTCTTGCCTGCAGCAATTCTGTTAAGAAGTGTACTGTCACTGTTTCCTTTGGTCTTTTACGTGTATGTTTCCTCTTTCTTTGGATATCTTTAAGACATTCTTTTTACCTCTGGTTATCATCAGCTTGACTAATATGCCTAGATACATTTTTCTTTGTATTTATCAGGCTTAAATTCTCTGAGTATCTTAAATCTGTGGCTGGCTGTCTTTCAGTTATTCTGAAATAATTTTGGTGATTATCTATTAAAAAATTTCTTCTATTCTCTCTCCATGTTTTGAGACTCCAACTATATATAAATTAGAGGAGAGATTGGCATACTACATTTTGTGGATTTGTTTTTGTAAACAAATTTATACTACAAAAGGATCATGCCATTCATTTAAATATTGTCTGTGGCTGCTTTTGTATTACAAGAGCAGAGCTGAATAAGTGAAAGAAATTATATGGTTAACCCTAAGTCATGTAGTATCAGGTCCTTTAAGAAAATGTTTGATGAACCCTGAGAAAGATCACTTGATAAAGTTTCTCCAGCTCACAGTTGATCTGTTCCTTACTTTAATTATTTTTCCCTCTGTGCTTTAACTTGGATCATTTTGAGTGACCTATCTTTAGGCTCACTGATTTTTCTCTTTGCTTATAAACCCACTGAAATAACTATTAATCTATTATTTATAACAAGCATTCTCATTTTACTTTTTCAAAATAGCTTTCTTCTATCTGCTGAAAATCTCTATCTGTTCACACATATTTTCTACATTTGCTGTTAGAACTTTTAAAGTGTTACTCATAATTATGTACTTTACTATCTTTTTCTGAGAAAACTAACATACAGCCCACATATAGATCTAGTTCAACTGGCTGCCTTGCCTCTTGACAATTTGCCATCTCACTTATTTTTTCTTTTAAGAAGGGATCTCATTGTGTTGCATAGGCTGAGCTTGAACTCCTTGGCTTAAGCAATCATCCTGTATCAGCCTCCTGAGTATTTGAGACTACAGATATGACCATGTATGTTTTAGAATTTTTAGATTTAATACTAGATATTTATGTAGAAGAGCAACAGAGAATGAGATAAAGAGATTTACTGGCAGAAAAAACAGGTATGTTTCTTCTTATTTAAGCCATTAATGCAGTGATCTGAGTCAAACTAGTTACTGAGCAGATTTGGCTTTCATTGCTGTAATTAATGTCAACACAGAGACTTTAAATTCTTTAACAGTGGTCTGTCACCTTGTTCTGAATGAAAGAGCTGGAATGCTAGACTTTCCTTCTCAGAGTTTTTTCTCTTCTCATAGCCTTCAGATCTTCATATCTATATGTCCAGGTAGGGAGGGGAAGTGAAAGCCTCTACATGTCTTTCTCTCAGTCTTTACTGTAGTCTGCTATTGTTTGTTAACTGGGTAGAAAAATGGAGATTTCTCATATTATTGTCCCAGTCTCTGTCTTAGATGGTTCCTGTGCATCTGAGCCTCAGTGGTGGAAGCTTTCTCAGTGTTCCAACATGACTACTGAATTCTTCCATGTATAGGTAGAAATGTCTTCAGTATAAATTTATTTCCTCTCCCTCAGAATCTTCAGAACTTATAATTTGCACCAGTGCTGGATCCTTGGAACTATGATTCCCATCCTTCCACTAGATACAAAGAGCTTTTGATTCTAACTCTTCTGTGCAGCAGCAGTTAAGCTCTGCCTAGAACCAAGAGGCAGGAGGAATTCTGATTCCATTCCTTGTGGTAGACAGCTTTGGCTACACATGAAAAAAGAAAACAGAAACTAGGAAGATATACTCATCCCCAGTAGCAACTGATCATCAAATGCATGACTGTAACACCAAAGAGAGCACTGACAGGCCCCCTTCCCTACCACTACCCCTTTATACTAGTACCATCTAATAGAGGCCAATGGAAAAAGATGGTCAGTAGCTGCAGACTCTCTTTGCATCTGAAATTTTTAAATTTATTTTTCTCCTTTTTTTATAGGGAGATAAAGGAAGCAGACTGGAAAACTAGATAGATACTATGTCTATTTTAGTTCTCAATTGCATCTCTGGCATCAAATGGAATGTCTGACTTCAATAACTATTTGGAACTCAACAATTCTTTGTTAAATAAATGAATATATCTTTTGTTTTGCTTTTAATTTTTCCTGTTATAGATAGCCCTGTAGTAACAGAAAATAATTTATATTTTTCTTATCAATAATTTCATCAGATTTTCAGAGTATAATTGTGTTCATGCATAACAGATTGAGAAATAAATTCAATGAAAATTTAAACCATTATTTTAAATAAAGAACTATAATACATTCAGGTGTTACACATATAATATTTATTATATATAAACAATATACATAGTAAATATTTATTATATATTTCTATTATACCTTGCACACAAAAATTTCAGGAAAAAATATAATATTGGTTCATGGCCAAACAATATAGTGATTTCATGCTAAAATAGCATTGTCACAATTATTCAGGATATATGGAGAGTATTACCAACTGCTATGGCTTGTGTCTAGATGTCCGCTGAAAGGCTCATGTGGTCATAGGTGGGGCTTTTGCAGAGGTGGCTGGATCTAGAAAGTGTGACACTAGGATTGATTCATGGTGCAATGCTAGGATCAAGGCCACTAGGATTAAAGGTGTGAGTGCTACCTCTCCTAAGTAGCCTGGATAAGATATAAGGCATAGAAAGAGCTGCAGTCATCTCTTGCTTGCTTTGCTACCTCTGCCTGCCATGAACTGTTTTTTCTCTGTGTTGCCCCTCTGCCATGCCACCCTGCCTGGGAGCCAGCCGATTATGGACTGAAACCTCTACAAACCTTGAGCTAAATAAACCTTTCCTCCTTTAACTCTGGGTGTTGGGTATTTTGTTCCCACAATGAGAAAGGGAACTAAGACAAAATTTGGTACTGAGACTGGGGTCATTGCTGTATCTATACCTGACCATGTGGTTTAGGAGCTTTTGAGACTGGCTTGTGGGAAGAGTTCAGAAAAGTTCAGAGATGTTGGCTGAAAAAGCAGACCTGAAACACCTTAGGCTGTACTTGCTGGGAGATTCTGGTCAGAGCTCAGAAGACTAGAAGGCTGACAGAAATCTTGCCAGTAAAGACCAAGCTCAGCAGGTTTCTGCTAGGTAAGACTGCATTGGCTGTTGGACTCCACACAATGTGTGTTATGCCTTGGCAGAAAGATTGTCTGCATTTTGCTCATGTCCAGAGACTTTGCCTGGCACTGAGATTAAGGGTGGCAGACTAATTAATCTGGCAGAAGAAATTTCAAGGCAGTCTAATGTTGAGGTGGTGTGATAGCTACTGTTGGGGGCCTTTAGCCAGATTTATGTTGAGAATCAAGAGCAAAGAGCCCAGCAGAATGATTTAAAACATTTTGAGTTTGGCTTCCAGAAAGGCAGCTCCAGTAAAGTTGCAGCCTGCAAAAATGGAACAGAGGAGCAATTGGTTGCTGAAAAGGCTACCAAGAAAAAGCCACATGTTGTGCTCACTTCGGCAGCACATATACAAAAAAGCCACATGTTTCAGAAGACAACAAAAAAGATAGACTGATGACCTCAAGAACCAGCAGGACTCCAGCCTTTGCAGCCTCAAATTTGCAAAGGAGAAAGACTTTGCTTTGAGAAGAGAGCCCCGGATCACCATGTTCCATAATGGCAGTGGCCTAGGGAAGCTGTTCCTCAGGATTTGGTTTATAGGCACTCAACCTCTACAGCCAAGAGAGAAGGAAGCTTGGCTACTGCTCTAGTTGGCAGTAGACCCTGGCATCATCCAAGTGGTGCTGGTTTTAAGTGCATGCAGAATGCAAGAGTTGTGGGGTCAGGGAGGCTTACACACAGATTTCAGAAGAAGGCCTGGGAGGACAGGCCATGTGCTCCTACAGAGCCACCCAAGCCCTTTGGAGTTCACAATTTGCCATACATTGCTGGGGATGCTGGAAGTAGAACTGTGGGATTTAATGTTTGCCCTGCTGGATTTTGTTCTTGCTTTGCTCCCATTCCTTGCTATCCCCATTTGTAACTTTTGGATTGGAAATATCTACCTTGTGCCATTGAATGTTGGAAGTGTTTAACTTTCTTTTCATTTGTACAGGGGCTTGCAGCTAAGAGTTTGCCTTAAATCTCAGAGGAGACTTTGGACTTGAACTTTTCAATAATGCTGAAACGTTAGCATTTTGGCAACACTTAGAGATGGAAAAAAATATCTTTTGCATAAAGGGATGTGCATGAGTCTTTGAAGGGCCAGGGGCAGAATGTTATGGCTCGAGTCTAGATGTCCCCTGAAGGCCTCATGCAGTGATAGGTGGGCCTTTTACAGAGGTGGATGGATCTAGAGAGTGTGACACTAGGATTGATTCATAGTGCAATGCTAGGATCAAGGCCACTAGGATTAAAGGTGTGAGTGCCACCCACCCTAAGTAGCCTGGACAAGACATAAGGGATAGAAAGAGCTGTGGTCATCTCTTGCTTGCTTTGCTACCTTCTGCCTGTCATGAACTGTTTCTCCCCTGTGATGCCCCTCTGCCATGCCACCCTGCCTTGTAGCCAGCCGATTATGTACTGAAAACTCTACAAACCTTGAACTAAATAAACCTTTCCCCCTTTAACTCTAGGTGTTGGGTATTTTGTCCCTGCAAGGAGAAATGTAACTGAGCCATCAATTCATTGTTTTAATTAACTAATCCACTTAATTAACATCAATCCCCATAGCTCTCTACTATCTGGATAAAAACAAAAAAACTTTTTTCCATAGCTCTCTGCATATATTATTTGAATATATAAAAAATGAGAAGTATACAATAAGAAAACATTATATCGATATAATATCAAACTTTGATGTTTATCAAAATTCCCAGGTGCTGGTAAAAACAGATGTTTATGATGCACCCCAAATCTATGAACCACAATTCACCAGCACAGGAACAGGGCAGCTATATATTCAAGATCACTATATATTCAAGGTGATTCTAATGCAAATCAACATTTGAGAAACCACTATTAAGTAATAGCCAAAAAATTACAGTGATAAAATTATCAGATTCCTAAGATAACACATATTCTGATAATAACATATAGTATTTATTAAATATTTAAAAGCTATTTTATTTGTTTGGTTTGCAAAGAATGATGCTTTTGAAAAGAAAGTAAGAATATGCTTACTTTTATGAGCTTCAGCATTTGCAACATAGATGAACCCATCTACAACTTCACAGACCTTCTGAATTTGTGGAATTACACTGTATCGACTTCTTTGTTGGTCATCTCCTTCAAGCTGAAGGTTGAACATCTTGTTAACTGCACTTGTATGTTCTTCCCTTGCTCTATCCCTTTCTTTTCTATAGGGAAAAAGTAAAAATATATCATTACAAAGATACTAAGCAGGTTCCATCCTCCTAAAATGTTCTACTCTGTAAGTTTTAGGTAAGCCACTAAGTAGGTAGATTTACCTGGTAGTTGAATACAATATCAGGATGTTAAATTTATGTTGGTTGTTCAACTGAAAACTGACTCCTGATCCAATACCTAAAGAAGAAAATTATAATGATCAAAACAAGTCATTAAATAATGACAGCGAAAGATCAGACTAGAAAATGTCACCCAGTGAAAGCAAAAATATCAAAGAAAAAACCAGCAAGTTATAACAGCTTTGAAATAAAATACAATGCTTGTGTTGAAGAGAAGATGCCGTATGGAACTTTGATTCACGTGGTAATAAAAATATGGGTAGAGAACAGAGAACTGCTAGGCTAATCATGGACTTTTTGTCATCATCATCATCATTTTGACACAAAAGCATAAAAATTATCTACACTATCTAGGGTTACTTATAATAACGGAGATCTTATATGTAAAATTCCAGGTGGAGTGACTAGTAAAAAACAAGTGCTAAATATTAGCTTCTTAGTACTTTACATCTGAGCAATTCAGCACTGTCATTTGTCTTTCTTTCTTAACTTCTTTCCTCCTTTGGCTGTGTTAAATTTCAGGGCCTGATTTTTTCCCTCTAATCTCCTGGAAAGAGCCTTCTTGAATTTCATGGCTCTACATCTTCTTCTTATATATAAATGTCCTCAGATCTGTCCTCTTTGATCATCAGCATTCTTATCTTTTAGTCCAAATTATCATATCTCATTTGAACTTCTGCAATCATTTCTAACCAATTTCTTACATCATTTTGCCTCCAATTATCCTTTCTTCTGAGAGAATTTGGAAAAAATTGCTCAATAATATCGAATTATGTCTCTTCTCTACAATGCCATTGCTCTTCAGGTAGAAAAGTAAAACCTTAATAAAATCTGGCTCCTACTTACCTCAGAGAGACACCTCTAGGATTTCATACACTTAATCCTTGCATTATAATCAATTAATTTGTTTAAGCTATGCCATGGATCTCATATTATCATTCTATGCAACATGTGTACTGAGTGTTGGGACACTTTGAGCTGAGACTACAGTCATCCCAGACAATGCGATCTGCATTCTCTAGCCACCAGGTAGGGTGCATACTCCACAAGGAAATCATGGAAACAAAATCAACATATTTCTAAACATTGATTTCCACAATTTAACTCCCATAAATTATCCTCTTAACATACTGACCTCAGTCAAGTCTGTCCCATACCATTCTGCACTTCTTTGCCATGATATAATCCATATTTTTCTGATCTTGGAAGATTTGAAGCATGTCGATTAGCATTTTTAAATAATCAGTTCAGCAGCTATCTGGAGAATGGAGCTGCCATTTCATAATCAGTAAATTTCCTTCTTTGATCCTTACTTTTCTACCTAGAGGCTAATTAAATCAAATCCTACTCATCTATAAACTTATCCCTGTTCTCAGATCAAGAATATTCGCAAGGGACAGAGATTTTTGACATTGTTCTACATCTCTGCATTTTTTTTTTTTTTTGGTACTGGGGATCGAACTTGGGTCCTTTCACTTGCAAGGCCGGTGGCAGAAACACTGAGCTAAATCCCCGGCTGTCATCTCTGCATTCTTAGTACCTAAAAAGTGTTTTCAATACATAAGTAAAGTGTAAGCTAAATTATATTATTATATACTATACTTTGCCAAATAATTACATTTCTTTTCTCATACAAGGGAAAGTACTTATTTAGCTCTTTTTCAAACAGCATCCTGACAAAACCCAATTTACTTTCACATAATATTAAATTCTGTATTACATAAATTTGATGAATTAAGAGGAAACGTCTTATAGTAACTAAAGTAATGTTTTCAGTCTTGTAGGACCTGGGGGCCGGGGTAGGGAGGACACCCTCCAAATTACTGTATTTCATTACAACAAAGAATTAATGCAAATGAATTTCTTTCTCTTTAATACTGGTGTCAAGATCAAAATGTCTGAGTTGTTATGTAGAATAACATAAAAATTACCATCAATCTGTCTGTGCGGCAAACCAGCAGTTGGACTAAGTTCCTTGGAAGACATCAAACTCAACACCAAAGATGAATTTAGTTCTTCTAAACCTGGTCCAAACATAGCAAATCGGGGTTCATTCAGAATGATCAATGAGTGTAAAAAGGAGGTGACAGCTCCATACATAGGACGGCTGGATTTCAAAGCTCTTCTTGTATATGGACAGCACATTTTATAACTGTATAAAATTGTCACAATTAGAAATTAACAAAGAAGAAATTTAGCCAGTTGTTCCTGCAAGAATATATAATTTATTGAGCACTTGCTAGGCATAAGAATATAAGGATTATATATTCCAAATCCTCATAAGGAGCACTGGGGGATGAACACCATCATAAACGTATGCAGAGTGCACTGATACAGAAAAAGACAAGGTGCTATGGCAGTGGGAGTGACTCAGAAGCTGGAGAAGTCTTCCCCAGGAAGTGGTGACTGACTTCCTGAACTTTCACATAGATTCTCTCATGGACATTGGTCTAACACATATTCCAATGTCAACATTCATGACTAAGGGTAGTAGTTCTCAACTGGACAAAGTTTTTATTCTCCCATTCCAGAATATCTGGCAATGTATGAACAATAAAAATAAGTTATACAGAAGTTAGCATAATTTTCCTAGAAATTAAATTTACTAAGGTTATTAATATAATCAAATTTCTTAAGTATTTCTATTAACCTCAAATGTAAAAGTTCAATAAATGTTAAATATACAAAGAAGCTCAAATGCTTCTTATAGAACACTTAGGAAACCAAGAATCATATGAAAGAAATAATTCAATTTCTTTTAATAGATACTGATATCTAAAATAGCAATATTTCATTTTATCAGAAATTAAAATAAAGTTGCCTAAATCAAAATAAAATCTAAAGCCTTTTAATAAACTGAATTGGTAAAGACAATCAGTAACCTAATAAAATAATCTGTTATTAGGAACCTTATAATTCACAAAGGCAAAAAGCAAAACAAGCAAAACCACTAACTTTGAAGTTAGACCTAGGAAAGCCTCACCACATTAGTTATAAAGTATGATCAGAAAAAATGGTGAATATTTAAATTTAAAATTTTAATTTCAATAAAAGATACATTGCCATTATCCCCCTTGCTTTGAACACACTTGTCCCATCATTCTTGCTTATCCCACTTCCTGAAGCAGTTATGGGAGTTCTTGTGTCTTTAGTTGCGCCATCTCAATGTCTGAGTTGATTCAGAGTGTATCTGTGATGGGCATTTTGACTTCGAGGAAGAGCCAGAAGTCACAAGGTGCCAGATCCAATGAATAAAGTGGATGCAGACACATCATGTTTTCAGGAGCCTGTCCTGAATGTCCTTGGATGGCACTCCACAGCAGCATTCACCATATTTTTATCACACCTTGTAAAGGCATACAAAACAGGATCTCCAGAACTGCTTCAGAAAGAGGCAAGAATAAGGAGTGTGTGTGTCTGAAGTGAGGGCAAGTATTTTGAGGGAGCTTAATGGGAATATGTTTTTTACTGAAATTATTTATTTTAAACATTCACTATATATTTTGATCATTCCTTGTATGCAACTCTCTTATAGTCTAAACTTCAGCTTCTTCAGCTACATTTTTTGGCAATAATATCACAGAGTTGAAAGATTAGAAATAATTAATCTGATCATATATGGTAATTACTATGAGTATTACTAGTCCTTGGGGAAAATCTGGTGCCTCATCATAAGATAAAATTGATGCTATGGTTGGCTGTCAGTGGCGTTTGCTGAGATTATATATAACAGATCATATACATTTTGATGAACTAGTTTCATAAGATCTGGAATAAAACTGGGAGGAAAATCTTGTATGTAGCTACTGAATCTAGCACACCAAAACAATTCTTATCTAAAGCATAAACATTCTTTTAATTTCTTTTACAATCCCTTAAACTTGGAGTTCTCAGTAAAGTTGGTTATATTCAGACCCAGTAGCCTATTTATCTTTGAGGTAACATGATGAATTCCAGTCTGAATAGTTCCTTAAAAAATACGACCTTAGGGCCAGGGATTTAGCTCAGTGGCGCTGTGCCTGCGTGGCGAGTGCAAGGTCCTGAGTTCAATCCCCGATACCATAAAAAAAACAAACAAAACTATGACCTTAGGAAAATCACATTAACTATCTGAACTTTAATTCTACGTCCATAATATAAAGAAAAAACTATGCAGCGTGAGCACTGAATGAGTTAACATACATAAAGACTCCCCCATAGAATCCAGTATAGTAAGTGCACAGTCACTGTAATTCTCTTATGTATATTGTACTAATAAATATCAATGTTCTTCAGTGATAAAATCTTATTTTTAATCCCTGCCAAAAGACTGCTTCCTGATCTCTAGTCATTCTTTTTCCCAATAATAAAGTTATTTACTATGGAAAGAAATGACAAGTGTTCTAAAGAGAATGAAAAATTCAAGAAATGTTTTATTTCCTGCCATTTGTACTACATTAATCATTCCAATACTGGCTAGGCACCATAGGGAAATAATGAAATGTCAAAGGTGAGCTGCATCTATGCAGGAAGTCAGTTAAGTCAACCCAGTTTGACAAGAGACACTTAGATCCCAAATCCATGCAACAAATTAGTAGTGGGGCCAGGACTAACATTGGCTATTGATGGAATAAAATTTATTATCTTTTTGCCGGGAATTTAGCTCAGTGGTGCTGCCGCCTGCTTCGCAAGCACAAAGTCCTAAGTTTGATCCCCGGTATCAAAAAAAAATTAAGTATCTTTTTAATTCACAAAACTGGATACTTACACTGCCATGTAATCAAATAATGCACTGTCAGAGATTTCAGATACAGGTTTTTTTAAGATTTCTAGATCTGGAAGAGACTTCCAATCAACAGAAGACCAACAAGGAAGATCCCGTAAAAGAAAGTATCTCCACAGAACTGGATCCCGTACAATTTTATTCCAATAATGATTTGTACTTCCCAACTGACATAGATCATGTGGTGAAAGAAATAACAAAATATATAGTTGTACATCAATCTGAAACACAAGAAATCAGGTGAAAAAAATAATTTATCTTAGAAAGTGGTTGCTTGATAGAGAACAAAGAATTATTATGCTAAACAACTAAAGGTCCCTTGAAATAGCATTTTTAATAGTTAAATCTATCATTGTGAAGTTATTTTCCATCCAGAAGGGGAGAATCCTGAGCACTCTAATTTTTGGTACACTAAAATATTTCTAAAAAACTAGGCACTGTCTTGCTGTTTTTCAGGTACAATAACTGGATCTTTTAATTTCTTGTGATGGATATTTTGATACTTCAGTTATTTAAATAAATCAATTAAGAAAATAATTTGTTCTTCAAAATAAAACTATCAAGTGGTCAAATTTCTGATTTTATCATTAGATCAAATTAAAGAGACTAAATTTGTCAATTGAGTTCCTCTATATAATCTAGTATGTGTAACCTAAAAAAAGATGACAAGAAAGTAGAAGGGAGACTGTTATTAGGCAAGAAGAAGAGAATAAGATTCAGAGAAGGGTATAAGGGCAGGTCATACAGAGAATGGATATGATGGGGGTAAAAATGGTTAAAATGTTATGTATGTGTATGAATTTTCAAACATGAAAATGATTAATCTGCATAACCAATTAAAAAAGAGTAGAACAAAACTACGTTGAGATTCCATCTTACCCCAGTCAGAATGGCTATCCTTAAGAACATAAAAATCAGTAAACGCTGTTGAGAATGTGAAGGCAAAGGAACCCTTCTACACTCTGGGTAGGAAAGTACATTAGTATAGCTACTTTGGAAATCAGTATGGCAGTCCCTCAAAAAATTGAAAATAGAATCACATGACCCAGCTGTCACTCTTCTTAGGTATATGGAAAGATTTAATGCCAGCATACTATGGGGAGAAGCGCATACTCGTGTTTACGGTGGCAAAATCCACAATAGCCAAGATAAAGAACCAGCCTAGGTACTTGCCCATCAACAAATGAAAGGATAAAGAAAATGTGACATATATATATATATATATAAATAAAATACATATCAGTATATATATTAGTATTCAGCCATAAAGAAGAAATCATGTCATTTGCAGAAAAAGATGGAACTAGACATCATCAAGTTAAGTGAAATAAACTACACTCAGAAAAGCAAGCAGCAAGTAACATATATTTTTCCCAATATGTGGAATCCAGAGAGAAAAAAGAGAATAGTAGGAATACTACTATTAGACAAAAGGAGGGGAATAACAGCAAGGCCAAAGGGTGTGTGTAGGGAATGTTTGGGAACATAGAAATGATTAAAATGTTATATGAATGTATGGAAATACTACATTGAAACCCAGTATTTTCTAAAATTAATATGCACTAATAAAATACATTTTTTTAATTGTTTCAAAAAACACTGCATGGGGAAGAACCTTGGAGGCATTCTAAGCCTGCAGTTTTCAACTTGGTATGGACGTCAGAGGGAGATGTCAATAATCCAAATGAGACACAGAATTGCAATAATTAATTGCCCAGAATGTCTATTTTCCCACCTCAAGTGAAACTTTAACACTAATGTGTATAATCTTTGTGCTCTGTTATAAACGTGACAGTGTGATTTGGTCATTTATTTTGGAATTGTAGTTTTGTTACTTTGAATAAATATACAGTCAAATATTTACATTATCCTAGGAGAGTGTGTTTTGGGTATCACCCGAAGGTTCTAATACATTAAGCCTGTGAAGGAAGATGCTGAGAACCCAGAAAGTGTCATTTCCTCAACCGGATGTTCCGGGTGTCCCAGTCATAAGCATCAGTTTTGAGGTCAGAAAACCTGGGGATGATCTGGGTGTTCATCAGGGTGCCCCGTGAATGTGGTTTCGCTGTGACCTTCGCAGGCTGGGAAGGACAAGGGGTCAAGGCCAAGGGGAGTCTGGCCAACCGCTGCTGCCAGGGAGGCGACAGCCCGGGCGGAGCCGACCAGGCCCTCGCGCACTCACCGGCAGTCGCATCAGGATACTGGTCTCCTCACCCGCCTCCTCCCGGGAAGCCGTCCGCGCCGCCCTCTCCTTGCCCACCGACTGCCAGAAAGCCCTCCAGCCGCTGAGGATGGCCGACTCCAAGCGGCCCCAGTCGCTGGGGGGCGGCGGCGAGGCGCCCACCCCGCGGATCCGCTCGCTTCCCGCCATGGCCGCCAGGCGAGCGTGACGCTGCAGCGCCGCCAACGCCCGCCCCACTCACCCCTCCCGGCACGCACCGCCGCCGGCCGGGCCGCGGTGGCCCCCGCTGAGTTCCCGAGGAGCTGGCACAGGTGCCTGGCTGGCGTGCTTCCCTGCCTGTCCCACTTGCCCATTCTCTTCTGGCCTCGCTAACCTCTCCCACAGCTGAGACACCACCCGCCCCTTTGTGACGTCCTGATTTCACCTGACGCGTCCACTCTAGACCTTAGGCCCACCTGCCACTTTGCCTGGGCCTAAGTGACTCCTGCTTAGACGATAGATGGGCACTCTTCCACTACCGTGGGCTAAATAATTGCTTGTCAGCACTAGATTAGGGAATTTGTGTTACTAGTTTCCTGTCCATTTTTCAATTAGCAAAAATTGAAACTAGAGGGGCACTCTGAAGTTCTCAAAAGCAGCTGAAACTATATTAAAGACCCTACAGACTGACCTTGGGTGACTAGCACATTGCGATTATGGAGATGGAATGTTGTAGACGGGACAGCCAAAATTATCTTGGGCTTTGTCCCTTTACTAGCCATTTACTTTTAACCTCTGTACATGACCTAACATCCTTGTGACTTATTATGTAAAACTCTTGAAATATATTGCTAAACGTGGCAGACCTCTATCCTCCACCAACCCTAAAGCTAATGCTGTAACATCTGAAACCTGTAGAAAAGATCTTCCCACTTTGTTACAGTGCATCTACCTATTACCCTGCCAATGTACTTGGTTCATTTATTTGATTTATGGCCTTCTTCCTTCCGTGGCCATAAAAGTTCATGTACCCTCTTACATGGTGGAACATGTAATTCAGGATAAAGTGAATCTATATTCTCAGGCCAAGATCACTCATTTGACTCCAAATAAACTATTTCCTTAAAGCAGAGTTATTTTACATCCCTAAGTCCAATCATGAGACCATATACCAAAATGAGGAGTCTGGGCCCTCTATACAAAAATGTAAGTAATTAAAAAAATTCCTCAATGTTATAACCTCATAAAAGGACAGATAAAACAAGAACAGCTAGAAGAGAACCCAAATGCAGTTATTGTTGAAAAAATTCTGAAAACTAAGGCCCATTTTGCTCACTTTGGTTTTACTTTTAAAAGACTTTAAGAAACTACTATACAGAGTACATTATAAGGTAATCAATCTACAATATAGAACTGAGTATAGAGGAAAAACACAAATGTGGAAAGACACAAATACTAATTTGTCATTTTCAAATATACAAACAACATTATGCTCCAAAACTAGATGTTGCTTAAAATAATATTTCAAGTTAATGTTCAATTTAATTTTATAGTTACTAACAATTTAGAGGAGTTTTAAATTCTTTGTAGATCTTGTTGCCCTTGGATATATCCTAATAGAACTGTGCAGACAAAATATCAGGCTTTAAAGATAACCGAAACATTCTGGTGTACTTAAGTCACCAACTTGATATATAATTGAGCTTATTTCATTTTGTTTTGGATTTTTTGAGCTTTATACTATTACATAAACTTATAATACATGTACAAAATCCAAGGTATATTTAGAACTGAGCTCCCATCTGGATCCTTTTCATCTGGTTCTTCTCCCATCCCCACCATAGGTAATCATTAGTTCACCTTTGGATTATCATTCCATTGCTTGCTTCTTAAAAATAAAAGCAAATAAGATAATACACAAGAGTTTATATCTCTTTTCATAAATAGCATATCATATATTTGCTCTGCCTTCTCACTTAATAAGACCACACTCTTATTATGTTTACACTTTTACAACTACATAGTAGTCAATCATGTGCATGTTACCAAGGTTTAATCTATTTTTAAATGATACACATATATTTAGATGACTATATTTCATTAGATACCTCTGACTTGTAATTTAAGAATTAGACCCAAAGGCATTAGGCTAACTGGTAAAAGGAGTTTTAAAAAGGGTATGTAAATACTTAAGATAATCAATACATCCACATATACTTTGAGAGAGGGGCTGAAAATGTTTTGACAATTACTTGTATGGTTTCTTCTGGTCGAACCCACACCAAAAAGATTGAGCTATCTATCCTTCCCATAATTTCTTCTCTGAAACCGGTTTCTCATCTAGAATGATCAGTATGACATGAATAAAGGAAAAAGCAGTGCTCACTGGGCAACAAGTTTGTTACTCACTTGTTCTGGGTGATGGGCACTCTAATTTTGGATGTGAAATGAGGTATGCCTCCACACAGAACCTCTCAGACATGAAGGAAAATAATTATAGCTAACTCTTGTGCTTTCACAATGGGTAGACACTGAACTAAAGCACTTTGAATATTTGTTTCATCTTCAGAATCCTGTCAGGCAGATACTATTAATGTTCCTATGTTAAAAAAAATACATATTAAGGCCTAGAAAGATTAAGTAAGATTAAGAAGCTTACATGGAGTTAACAAGAAATGGAAGAGCTGTGATTTAAATTTGGGCCTTCTCCTAGAACATATTACAATCCTACCCATTATGCTAAGTTGTCTAAAAATTATTAGGACCAAAAGAAGTAATATTTAGAATAATAAACAGGTAATAAAAGCTTTCATTGTGATACAATGACAAAATATAGCAGGAAAAGAAAACAGAAACAAGTAGAGGAATATGATTTTATTTTTTTAAATTATATGCTCCAAAACATTGTACTTAGAAATTTTCACTGGAAGTAGGAAAAACAAAACAAAAACCACTAATATAAACACACAATGCATTTTTTGATTATGGCTATATTAAATGTATCTTAATGTAATACTTCCATAATATGGTATCTCATATTGTGTTTAAAAACATACGTGATAAAGAAAACTACAGAATTCTGGATTTTGTGGCAGATAAGGTAGCCTTATTGGAGCCAGAAAAGAGGCCCTAGAAGGAGAAAAGAGACGATCTAAAACTAGCATATTAATCAGCTGTAGGTTTTTTTTAAATGCCATTAGAATGAATCTGAGAATGTCTTTAGACACAGCTTACACTGTAATGGGTTATCAGAGAACTCACAGGAGACTGTTAAGCTAGGAATGTAATTTTATGGTGGAGTTGAGCCATGACACTCACCTTACTGAAGTGTATGCAAAGGAATAAGGAAAAAGTTGTGATTTGCACTTTAATCAGCATCAACCAATTCACATAGTCAGAAATGTTATAAATGTAAGAAAACAGGACCTTAAGTAAGTCTTAATTCCCAGTTGACATCAGAAAATTCATACTGGGAAAATCATACAAGTTTAAGGATTATGAAAAATCATTTAACAGTTTAACTTTTAGTAACCATCAGAGAATTCAAACAGAGGAGAAACCCCAAGTGTAAAAGTGCAACAAGGTCTTTAGGTAATTAATACTTAACCATTAGTAAAGCCCATATTGAAGAGAAATCCCTTAAATATAACAAAAAAGAGGTCTTAAGTAGTTACTTATTCTTTATTATCAGAACATCCATAAGAAAGAATAACTTTGTGAATATAATAAATATACAAAGGATATATATTCCACCCAACAGAGTGGAATTTGAAGACACAAATGCTAAAGCAGTAGACAGGTGATTAGAGGTGCCTTCCCAACCACTCTAAATAAAATAGCACCCATATCCAAGTCACAGTAGACTCTTACTCTGCTATATTCTTCATAGTACTCACCACTTGACACATTATACATTTATTTCTTAAAACACTTTGTCTTTCTCCACTAGAATACAAGCTCTGAAAAAGGAGTGTTAACAAAGCTATTATCCTCAGTACCCAAAACAAAATATGACATGTAGTAGGCACACAGGAGTTAATCGAATAAATGAATACATTATAGTACTTTTCTTACGTGGAGTGTTTGGTACACTGAGGTTATTTCATTCTAAATGAAAGAGAATTTACTTAGCAGGCTTTCACATATACAGAAATATGTTCTTTATAATGCATCAGAGTACAAAGCATTTATAACTGTTATGGTTTACAAATTATTCTCCAATTGTTTCCAGGATGGAAAATTATACAAAAGCATCCAGTAATACCCTCATAATTGTACTGACCAGAGTTCACAAGGGCCATGCACTCAAAATGGAAGCTCCCAATTTCTGAAAATAAAATTCTCTCGTTTCCACAGGTTCAGAATCTAATAGTACTTAACTTTATTTCTGTAAGGACTATGTCTCTGTTTGCTTGTCAACCACTGGTGTAAAGGGCATGGCAGTTTGGAATCTAATAGCAGCAACCCTTTTGTGCAGTTTGGCACTTAGAGTCATGCCTCATTAATTCAGGAAAACATTAATAAGGGCCTACCATACACTAAACACTATATATAAAGGAAAACTTTTAAAATATGGCATGCATGAAAAAGCAACATGGTAAGTTTGTTAATATGGGAGGGGAAAACTAAGGAAACTTAACAAAGGAACATCTAATTTTGACTAGAAAGAGCCAAAAAAAGCCTTTGGACACTGTTACTGAACCTGCACCCTAAGAGATATGTATTTACTTGGCCACAAAAAAGGGCATAGCAGTAATGATGTCTAAAAAACTACTGAGGTTGAAAACATAAGTACATTTGGCAAAGGAACTGGAAGTACTTGATCATGATCTCCAAAAGGAGGGACAGTTAAAAATGGTTTATATCTTTACATTCAGAAAACACAAAGATATTTTCATAACACTGCCTGCTAAAATGCTGAAATAAAAATAGTCTTTGCTGTGTAAGGATAATTCAACGGTCTGGGCAGGGACAGGGAGTTTCCCCTGGCCCCAGGGGCTCTTGCAGAATTTTATGTTTACCAAAAAGGAACCTGTGTTGTGAGTTTTTGAGGAACACTGGACTAGAACATGATAGTAGAGATGAGGCTGGGAAGACAGGCGTTTTGTGTTTTTCTGCTCTACAGTTAATTCCAAAATGAGAACACATGACACATAAAACATTCTGCATGGAAGATGACCTGTTTTGATACACTAAAGTTAAAATTACACGGGCTGTTTATCTAAGCGAGGGAGGCTAGGGTTCTAGTACTGTTTTGAGTCAGCCTGATATTACAGGTGGTAGAAAAAGAAATTGCTATAAATAATGTAACAAAAGTATTTAAAGTAAAAAGGAGAGGAAATGAAAAGAGGAGAATAGAACTTTAATAAAAGATCAATACACTAAAAAGATATAAAATGAGAACAAGAGAAATGAGGGAAATAGTATAGACGAAATCTTGTAGCATAGATTAGCCTTCACCAGGAAGCAATAACTTCTCTAAAATGGGGAAAATGAATAAATGGTTAATATTACTTGATCTTACAGTCTCAATTTTCTATATGGTAGGGAGGAGGGGAGAGAGCCTGAAAAAGTGAAGTTTCTGGCTCAACCACAGTGGGAAAAGACATAAAGGCCACCCTAGTAAAAAACCAAAGGCTCATAAGTGAGGGCTCTTCGAAAGCTGAAGTGAGACACTTGTAGTGATTCCACTTTGAATGACTGTATGCTCTTTCCATGAAGCAGTCTAGATGTTAATACGAGGATTAATTCAATGCTAAGGGCTTGTAAAATGAGTGGGCCGAAGGATAAGATGGAAGAGGGAACAACTGGTAACAGGAGTTCTTATGGTGAGTGCACAAAAACATTTGAAAGCGGATGATAATGTAGTACTGAGGGGAGCACTTAAGAAAAGAAGGCTGTGAAGAAGCTACAGATTATAGAATAAAAGTAAAAGAAAAGAAAAATCAATAAATTTAAGGAAGTAAAAAAGCTGGCAGGATGAGAACTGTCATCAGTTACTGAAATTGAGGATTTCGGAAGGTCTAACTCAGGATAGTTGGGGCTCAAGGTTTATCCATGGGAGGAAGTTGCTGGAATGTGATAAAGTCATTCGGGCAGCAGTCTAGTTTACAGCAAGGTTTCAGACAGATCAGCCCAAGATAACAGTAGGAGTTGAGGTAGACAGAAGGACAGCAAGCAAGTTATCAAGTTAGGTTCCTTGACCTTTAGTATTTCACCAACTATTAAAAGCAAAAAATATTAAAGTTTCAATACAGTATGAAAAGATATAGCCTAATAGCATATGGACTAACTTGGTTTTTATCTTTTAAAACCTAAGTCGGTTTTTATCTTCATTACTTGAGAAAACATGCATTTAAAATAAAATAGGAAAAAAAATTTAAAACTTTTATAAAATGTCTAAAAAGTAAAAATTTTAAACAAGACTGGTAATACATGGCAAAATAAACACAACTGATTTCTTTGTGGAGCCTTTTGTTATTTACATTATTAGAAATGAAGTCTAAATATTTGTCATAATCTCTCATTTTGCCTACATTTATATTACTATCTAGTCAAAGCAATGAGGTGAACTGATATTTTTGGTACTGGGGATCGAACTCAGGACCTTGTGCTTGTGAGCCAGGCAGTGGCACAACTGAGCTAAATCCCTGGCTCCTGAACTGATTTTAACGTTTGAAGCATGGCAAGCTTCAAGACAGGGAGATTAAATTTTGTGCTACATATATACTTCATCACAATTTAAAAATAATCTAATGTATTAGAGAAAAGAATTATACTAAAGCTAACTTGAGTTTTCCTTACTAGTGACAGGATATCTAGTTCAAAGTGAGATAGAATAATATATACATCAGTTTAGAAATTAAAAGAATCATTTCTACATGGGCTTAAGAATATATAATGAAAGATGATGATAGTATTTTACAAAGGGTAACCTAACCACACCGGATAGTTTTATGTAGTGTAATGTTTTCAGAATGAGTGTCAATATGTCTTCTTTTCTGAAACTTTTTTTCCATTTCATGGGTCTTTTTGTCTTTCTGACTGAAAAAGACTAGATGAACTACTAGTTACAGTGATGCTGGAAGAAGTTTAAAATTTGTTTCGCATTTGTTGTATTCCACTCTTGTTCTTTCAGGGGTCCTTCACACACAGATACATACTTTTTCAAAATTTTTTCTCCTACTTCTCGAAAATCCAAGGGTTCTTTGTGTGTAGTGCAGCTGGCTCCAGAAATACCAGTATCCACTTCATGATTATCTGGCTGCTGATTTGTACAATGCTTCAATCCCCAGTAGCACATTTCTCCACTATACATCATAGCCAGCAAATGAATGTCACTAAATATTCCTGGGAAGGTCATTGATGTTGACATATTAGAATCACAAGTTTAAAAGAAACCCTAGTTATTAAAATAATAAATTCCTTGTTATTAAGCATTGTTCATTTCATTTAATAACACTATAAAGAGCCCAATATCACTAATACAACCCTAATTTAACCAGCTCTTCTATTTTACCTATATAGGAGAAACAGCATATTAACAAAAATAGAATATTGTTAAAGAATTTTTTTAAAGAAACATTTAACTATTATCCTTTTTGGGGAGGTAGGGTTCTTTCAATGACCTTTAATTTCATCAGCGGAACCCCTCGCAGAAATATACCCCAAATTCTGCATACAACCCCAGAATATTTAAAGTCCCTGAATTTCATTCACGGACACAACTTTTATTCTGGGGTATGCCCTGGGATTGCTGATGTAGCAAGTCATATATCATACACCTAATATATTTCTCTAAGAGTATAGCAAAGGTATCATGTGCCAACATGTCTTTGAAACTATACGATTCAAATTATCAAAGATGTTAATTATATCCAACATGCTTTGTATTCCTAGGAAAGAGAAATGCACTGGAAAATTTTCATCAAAAGTTGAATGCATTAAATTATTTCAGTAGATAATTACATAATTAAACATTAATGTTATACAAAGTATGCTAATTTAGTAGGAAGATAAATGAACTGAGAATCAAAAGATCTGGGTATGAATTACTGGCTTTTGACTTTGAGCAACACTCCAAAGCTCTCTGAGACTCAATTTATAAATCTAAAAAATTAAGATTCCACATACCCTACACAATTCAGAGTATTCTTAAGGAATGTGTGCAATTAAAATGTTTAAGTTTCATAAAACATAAAGTGTCACTAAAATACATGATTATTTAACTTAAGGTCACTGAAATATAAATAAATGATTTATACTAATATGAGGTACTGTGTTTCTAGAAAAGGTTACCTCAAGTAAATGAGTATAATAATCTCAGCTGTTCACCTAATATGGTTTAAAAGAAATTGACTACGATGGAACTAGATATGAAAAATGTGATTTTCAATCCTGTTTCAGTCTTTACTGTTTTGAATCTACTGCATGCTTTTTAGTTTCAGAATTTGCCCTTCCAGCTATCACCTTCACTTCACCTCAAACTCAACTTATAAATAGTAAATAGTTGCAGTAGAATTGCTGACTCATTAGAATAGTATATAAATAAAAGAAAAACCATTAAAGAACACAATGTGAGACTTGCATTCATGAAAATAGACTATACTATATTTTGTACATATAAAATAACCTTCATGTAATAAGCATAATATGTATTACCAAAAAAGTATTTCCTTTTTATTCCTTTGTAGTTAAACTTCAAAGAAAAACATAGTTAAAACATTAGATATCATTCAGAAGTTTCTACTAGATAAGGCATTTCACTGAATGTGTATCATTTTTATTTGTGTGGTCCCACTGTTATTCCTAGAAACAAACAAACAAACAACAGACACAGTGGAAAGGAGTAAGGACAGAATTAAAACTGGAAGAATGGTTAAACTTTCAAGCAGACTAGAATCTCCTTGGGGGAGGAGCTGAAATCTGTTTCATAACTAAGGACCTGGGGGTGAGAAGTGTTGCCTAAGGGAGATTGGAGATCCAATTTATGCCCCCACTTTTTAGGTTACTTTCACTTTTTATATGAGCAAGAATGAATAACCTGCTCACCAAAGTAACAGTCTATGGTAAAGTGTTACTAGAAAATGAATGGCCATATGTCAAAGAGTGTTTTTCAAACCTTAGCTTGCATTAGAATTATCTGGCAGACTTACTAAAATGCTACCTAATGGGTCCCCACCTTGAAGTTTCAGATTCAGGCATGGGGTAGAGCCTATAAATCTGTATTTTTTAAAAGAAATTTCTAGGACCTAGGTAGGGGATGCTGCTGCTGTTGGTGGTTGTCAATAGACTACTTTCAAAACTACTGCATTAAAATATCAGAGGAAGAGGGAACTAGGGACGTATCTTACAACTGATAGAGTACTTGACTGCCTTGTGTGAGGCCCTGGTTTCAATCTCCAGTACCACAGAATAAAATACATAGCACATGCCTGTAATTCTAGCACTCTGGAAGGCTGAGGCAAGAGGTTTGGAAGTTCAAGCCCAACTTGGGCCTGTCTCAAAAAATTTTAAAAAGGGATGAGGATGTAGCTCAATGTGAAGGGCCTGGGTTCAATCCCAAGGACTAGAAAATTTTGTTTAAAACATCAGAGGAAGCGATAAATTATGTATGTTTTTCTTCTCTACTCCCGGTAAGGAGTTTGATAATCTAGTGATAAAAACTCTGCTTTTATGAATTTTCCTCAACTTTTTTTTTTTGTTAATACTCAGAATGGTTTTTTCAATAAAACACTTAATTCTGTACTGTGCATGTCCATGGCGAATGCACATGTAATGGCAGGGAGTACCTGAGACATGGAGAGGTGTGGATAGGGAAGGACAAGGAATATAATCCATGAAATGAGATTGTGGAAACAACATGACTTCCATAGAAAACAGGTACAGATTGGTATTTTCTCTTATGTCCAAATCGACCTGCATCATAATAATTTACTGAGGTTACTCAAAATAGATTCCTGGGTTTCATATACTGAATGAAACCTGCATGGGGTACACAGACATCTGTATTTTTAATAAACTACACAGGCTATTAGTAGTACCAGTTTAGAGCTGCCCTTTATGGGATCTAAAATCCAAGTTCTGTCTTAAATGATAGATTAAAGGGCTACAGCAGTAGTAAGGTCCCCAAGGATATTTTTTAAAAGGCAAAACCAGGGCGAGGTGATGTATGCCTGGAATCCTCATACTTGAGAGGTTGACACAGGGATCACCTTAAATTTGAGGCTATCCTTGGCTACACAGTGGATTCAGGACCAGCCTGGAATACATAGCAAATCCTATCTCAAAAAAAAGAGGCAAAAACCAAGAAAGTGAGAAGTGGACAGTATTTTGATTTACCCCATTTGATTCTAGTTGTATTCTGATAAGGCTATTTTTATATGCCTATTATCTGATAAGGCTGTGTCCAAAGATTCTCTGGCCCCCACTTCATAGAGAAGTGAGGTTAAGGAGTAAAATGGTGACTTGTGGAGGCTTATGCACACATTGTTTGGTAATTTTTAATAGTTGAAAATTTAATGTCCAATACAACTGTTTTCCTTTGTAAGTATCAAATGTAAGTAATCATAGTAAGCATACACTGTCTTGAGCTTCCTTAAAATTAGGAAAATCTGGCCAAGAACTGGCTAGAGAAATAGTCTGATACTTCAGAGTCCTATTTTCTCGAAATATTAGAATTACTCAAAATATTAAGAACTTTTTTTCTTAAATATTATTTCTCCCTAAAGATTAAGAATTATATTGAAGATTTGCTAATAAAAAATAATTAGATTCTCTCCTATGGGGATCTTAGGCAAAATTCAACCAATGAAAAGTCAGTTTCCTAACTCCCAATATAATCATGTATAGAGAGATGGACCTGGGCAAAGTAACCTTCTTTTTTTTTTTTTTTGGTATTGGGGACTAAACTTGGGACCTTGCACTTGTGAGGCAGGCAATGGAAAAAGCAAGCTTCTTTAGATGAGAACATGTTGACAGCATAAGATGACTGAGTATTGTGGCAAAATTGCTTTAGTGCCTACAATGTTTTCTTTTCCCCTGGAAAATGCCTTAAGACTACATTTGACCCTTTTGATTCCCCTGCTAAAAAAGCAATTGAAACTAGAGGCTAATTAATATATTTTCAAAATATGACTGAAGAGAAGGCACTAGTATCATACACCTACTGAAGAAAAAAATTCCAAGCCAGAGTACTTGACTTTTTAACAGGAATAGGACAATGAAAGAAACAGGTGAGTTTCCTTGGTTCTAAATAGGCTTCAATTCTCTTCCTCACCTTCTTCTTTTCAACAGTGTCCCTGCCAGGTTAAGAGTTCAACAGAATCCATCCAAGTAGGTCAGATAGAGAGATTTTTAACAAGCCATTTTCAATGCCTCTAATTAATTATCTGGAATAGCTAATAACTAATATATACTTTCCATAAATATATCAAAATACCCTGTTTGTCAAAATGTCACATCCACGGAAGGAACTGTTTGTACTCACAGTAAGTTGTTTTAGGATACTTGTCTGAATTAATAAAAATAACAATTTTTGGACACCGTTAGTCAAATGTTAATGATGTTTAAACCACCTTTTTAAAGAAATGTTTTCAAATAAAAAGAAAAAGCCTAAAGAAACTAACAAAGTAATAGGAAAAATTAAAATGTATTTAAAATTATAGAATTTTTTTTTATTGCTCATATTTCTTTTTTCCCCACAAAAATTTCAGATGAAGTATAAGAAAAGAAACTTTAATTATATGACCTAGGGTCACCTGCAGCTATGTGACCCTGAGTAGGACACTTGGTTTACTTACCCACAGTCTGGAAGGCTAAGGAAATAGATCATAAGTTCAACCCCAGCCTGGGAAACTTAGTAAGACCCTGTCTCAAAAAGTAAAAATAAACTGTAGAATGTAGTGCAAAGGCCTTGGGTTCAATCCCTAGTACCACCACCCCCCCCAAAAAAAAGTGACGGTAAAAGTAAGTTCTCCCTCACACTTCAGACTAAAACTCAAAAGCTGCTTCATATCCAGTTCCTAGAATTTTCAAGTACAAAGATGTTTGTGTCAGAAACTTAAAAGTTGCCACCCAATATTCATTCACTTCACTTATCTTAGTAAAGAATCTTAACTTGGGCTGACAAAGCATCAGGTTAGGACTGTACTTCCCAGGTTTCCTTACAGCTAGGTGTAGTCATCTGGCAAATCTGGCCAATGAAATGTAGCTTGAAGTGTTGTAAGAAACTTCTTAGAAGGCCACTCTAAAGGAGCTAACTTAGTTGAAAGAAATTTCCTTCTGTCATTACTGCAGTCTGAAACACAGATGAGATGGAAGGGGCTCCAGAAGCATCTAGGTATAGTGAGAATGGAAACAATATCCTAAACAGCAATGCATGCTGCACAACTCTAAAAGTACTTAAATTTACTGTATTCTATACAATGTACCTTCCTCTGAAGCTTGAGGGCTCTGGTTCTGAAGATGATGGAGAAAAAGACAAGAACATGATGATGTCATAGAACCACTATACCAGTTCTGGGCTTTTATTATGTGAAAGAGATCTAAATATCTACCTTGTTTAAAAGTTGCTTCTACTCTGACAGAAGTTTAGGTCTCATCTAGTTCTGCTCACAGTGACATACGATGCAAAATAAATAAAAGTTACCAATACAAAACTCTTCCAAAACTACTAATCAAAAGAGATTAGAAATATTTATATTATGTGAAAAGATTTTAATCTTTGAATTTCTTAAAAAGCGATTTTATTTTTTTACTATTATCCAGTTTAAAATTTATTTAAATCAGAATAAAATCTAAGAAAAGTCTAAAAACAAGATTACATTACCTGCACTCAGTAATTTAGCTGTGTCTAGGTCTTGGAAAGAAACTCCTTCATTTAACTGGATAGGACACCGATAGTTTAGCATCTGTAGCAAGTAATTGATCCCATCAACAAGGTACTAAATAAAAATCAAAGCCAAAGAATTAAAAGTTTTATATGCAGAGCTACATAAACTTTAACTAATATATTTTTCCATTCTTTACTTAAAAGCAAATGGAGTAATATACAGATAAATTTAATGTTTATTACATTTCTATGGTGTTAAGGACCTAGCAACTCCAAGATTTTCATAATATAAGTAGTGAGTATGCAAAAAAAAAGGAGATGGGGAAGAAAACCCTAATAAGCTTCAGTAATATACTGGTCAAAAATGTTATCAAAGGAAAAAAAGGACTATAATAAAGAAGTGTTTTAAAACAAAAAATATGTATGTGATTTAGAAACATATCTGGAAATCTGGCCTCTCATTTCCAAGTCCACCTATCTATATGTATGTTCACCCTAAGTTAGAATACGCAGTGATACAATACTAAGACCCAGTTCTTTGGATTTAATGATTTGCTCAGAATCATTTGGCCAAATGAGAGGGCCATAATTTTCTCAGAGCAGAGTCATGTGGGTTCTTGAAGAATGATCTGCTGTCAGAGAAAGGCTCACAGCACAGTATTTTCTTCAGGTTAAAAAAAAAATATGTCAAGAAATTAATGCAGGTTATATTTTAAAAAATAAAAATCTAGAACTTAAAAAAAAAAAAAATCATGAGAAACACCCAAAATGACAAAGTCCTTTCACATGTTACCTTATTTGGTCTTTACAGCAATTCTAATTTGTTTTAAATTATACAGCTAGTAAGTAAAATATCTAGTATTACAACAAACATAACTTTTTGAAATCAATAAATGTCAACAACTAAAAATGTATAAGAAATGTCTTTTTACCTTTGTAAGTAAACTAGATTTTCTCAAGAGCCACTCTCTTCTTTTAGTCAGAGAATGACAATACATGTACAATAGGGCTCCTCGTCTCCAAGAGAGACATTCCAGTAGCTCGTCCCCAAGCAAACTGCAATGCTGAAACACAAAAAAGATATGGCTAAAAAGAGAAAGCTGATTTCTGTAGCAGGCAAATTGCAAACACTTGAGTAATTTTAAAAAACCCTCATTTAACAAAATATGCCCATGTTTTGCTACATATACAAGAATGTCTATATTTGAATGAAGTAGAAATACAGAAATCTATTGCTACATTAAAATTATCACTTCAATCTACAGTTTTACAAAGTTTTAAAAAAACTTTGGTAGCAAATTCTAACATACCCCAAATGCATGTAGTACATAATCTCATTTTTTAAAAAACCTTTCAGGAATGTTACTTGAATAATTTTCTTCAGTGGAAACGAGAAACCAAGTAAGAATTAGATCACTAGAATAATGAAAAGTTACACAATAGTAATTTTAATAAATCAAAATTCTTTAAATTGTGGATGGTTTATTTCCACAGTTAGCTTTCCCTAATAAATATACAAAGCCAAGAAAATACATAATTAAAGATGAGAAATTATTTGCTTGAAAGAGTATCTAGGGCTAGAGATACAAACCTGGGAATCATCTAATTAGAGATGACTATAAAAACTATGTGAACTGGAGAGTATTGGAATGAAGGAAACACTTTTGGGAGAGTGCCTGTATTTCTAGAATGGAGGAGAGAAAAGATGCTAGGGAAAGAGCAAGAGAAGGCTTCTCAGAGACAAAGGAGAAAAGAGTGTACAGGGTTCCAAGGGACTAGGTGATCAATACTCAGAAAGGCAGCAGATGTTCAGGAGGATCAGGACAACAGATGCGGTATTTAGGATACTAGTGACCTTCCAGAAGATAAAGAACTTGCAACAGTAAAGGGAGTAAAAGTAGGCAATATCTGTGTTAAAAAACTGAGTATGGCTAGGCATGGTGACACATGCCTGTAATCTCTGCACTCAGGATGCTGAGGCAGGAGGATCGCTGCTCTCTTCAGGCCACCCTGGGCTACATAATGAGTTCAAGGCCAGCCTGAACTACAAAGTGAGACCCTGTCTCAAAAAACAAACAAACAAAAAGCACAACAAAACAAAAACCCAGACAGACAAATAATAAAAGAAAATTATTAGGTAATACAATTACAAATCCATTATGCAAATATTCTGAAAATATTTAGTAAAATATGACACTGTACTGTGACATTGGTCTATAGTGTTAAGTTCTTTTATCTCTCTTTCAATCTTAAAACAGAAATAAAAACACATTTAAGAAAGAAAAAACAGCCTTGAAAGAGCAGGATAGCAAGAACTAGTAGCATTTCCCCACAATTCCTAGTATAAAACTTACTTTTGGATGCACATTATTTTCTTTAACTAAAATCTCTGGTTCTGAAAGAAAACTGATCAGCTCTTTTACTTTCTGTGAAGAAGAGTCTTCAGGAAAATCTTCATCTACTAACTTGTTCTCCTCAAAATATGTCATGTCCAAAATGGCCTAACGAGGTAAAAACCATCTATAAATGATTTAAACTTGAAACAATGAGCTCTTTAGAGTTTTAACTTCGTATACATAGATGTTTTAGTAGACATTCCAATCTTTTAGCACATTATTTAAATTTGGCAGGCAGGCAAAATGACTGACTATAAATATAATTTCAGACAGACATCATAGAAAACTTCAGAGGTATTCTACTATACTGGATTAATGATTATCTTGTTTCTCTCAAGAAGTAAAATAGATGTATGTTTTAATTAATATGTCACTCATAATTATGAAAGATGACATGACATTATCATTTTTGCTATTTATATATATATAATCCCTGAAATTTTTCTAAATGCCTACAGTACTAAGGTTACCTCCTTTAGTTTTGTATATTGGATCTTCAGAGAATTCATTCTCCTAAATGCACAACCAGTATTTGGGGAATATATAGCTTGATATCCAATAGTGGAAGCATATATCAACACATGCAGTTCAAACTCTAAGCCCCAGCGATCCTGAATACAACCAATGCTCTGTTCAAGCACATTAAATCTTCCTAATAATTTTTTTAAATCAAGTGGATCAAGACAAAGAAAACTAAATTCTAGTATTAGTTCTAAATCTAATCACCCTACCAAGAACAATTTTAACCCAAGTTAATTTTATTTTTTTTGAATCTTAGTGATAAATTGAACTAATGCCTTTCAAGTCTTTGCTTTGAGAGAAAATGAACTAATATAAATAAAGTACTTGAAACATTACATACCACACATAATATTTAAGTGGTATGTGTTACTATGTGGAAAGCCTAAGTCAGAAAAGATACCAGTATCCTATGGAAGATGATCTGTTGACTCTAAATCATAAGTAGGGTTCAAGGGAATGTTGAAAATTCAAATCTGTACATCCAGATTTTTTGGTTTATTCTTCAAAACAAGTTAAAATGTTTAGGACATCCTCATCTGAAAGAAATGACATCTACCATATGTAGACAAGAAAAGAAAGTCTTCTGAAAGCAAAGAAGGCCAGGAAAACATCCTACCAAATTATAGCAGGTTTTAGAGGTTTGTCAATAGCTGTTATAGGATCATTCAGCCATGATATCTAGAGGTAGAAACCATCTTTATGAGGTACCTTCTACAGAAAGCACAGTCCCAACCATAAAGCTAGTACAAATGCACACTTTGGAAACAATTAGGTACTCTAATTTCTATAATCATTGCATCTTTATTATCCTTAGCAATAAAGGATATATGAAAGTACTTTATCAACTACAAAGTACAATATAAATGTTAGTTACCATAATGAAATATTATTTCTCAAAGTCAGATTATTTCAGCAGGATATGCAAAAACTAAGAAAACAGGTGTTGTCCTCTTACAGGTGGAAAAATAAATTTCAGAAAAAAAAAAAGGGCTTTTAAGAGTTGCCTACTCCCTCTGGAACCTTCAAGACTTTAAGACCCAGCATGTGTTAGTGTTCTGATTAATTATCCATAAAGGGAACCAATTCTGTTATCTGCAAGATATTTTTCTGGATCCCTATCCACACACCTAGTAAGTCTCAACCATTAGGATACTGCTGCAAAGTTTCAAGTCTAAATGCTTTAAACATACAGTATTTTTAACAAACTGATCACATTTTAAAACAAAATGCCAGTCAACATCTGTTTCAATACCTGCGTGTAAAGTTCTAGAAGATTGGATGGATTTGAACGTTCTTTCTCTTCTCCACACAAGAGTTTCAACTTTTCTAGAGCTGCAGAGGCCCGAATTAAAAAATGATCTTTAAAAGATAAAAACATGATGATTACTTCACATAGATTCTGACTGCCATTTAGACAAAGTTATGTATCCGAAATGATGAAATAAAATGATATTATGGCATATGATATTATCACAGCAAGACAGTAATAATATCTTAGCCAAAGCACGAAATAACTTCACAATGCTGAACTGTAATTAAGTAAAGTTATCACAGAAATTTTTCTAGAAAGCAAGACTGAAAACTTTTTATATTTAGTATTACTATTTCTTAAATGCAGTTTGTATTCTCAGGATGCTTCTTTTATAATCCTAGTGCACACAAAGCATTTAAATAATAGATAGATAACTTTTACTGAAACAGTACCAATTCTGTACATAAATCTACAGAAAGTGTTTCCCCTGAAAACATGTAAGTTCATAAATGTAATTGCAAATGTTTCCTAAGAGTATGATTAAATCAAATGCTTCATAAATATCACCACCACTGTGAGCAGTTATAAGTTTATCGTATTTGTAGCAGTTGCAATTAAAATACATAATGCCTATATTTATTTTATTTCTTTAAAAGTTAGAAATGCAACAAATTACTTCATTTTTTTCAAAACCTGGAAGAAAAGGCACAAAATACTTCTGATATGCCCCCTAATCAGAACACACCCAATCTCCCTTTTACTGTCTTCTAATGTTTTCACTTTCTGTCATACTCCCTCCTCTATCATTTCAGCTCTTTTTATGTGTTCACACCAAAGTACTATCCACCCTTTTGCAACACCTCATGTAGTACAATTTAGATATGCCTACTATAGTATAAAACACTAAAGTCCCTCAGCTTGCCCATCAGTGCTTCTCCTCTGAAATAGAAACATCTTTCTCTTGATCGGCCAATGGACAGATAATGTAGTACTTACTGTGGGCCCATCTAATCCAGCCTCTACAGTAAAACAAAGACAGCTGTTCTATGTTGGGGCAAAAGCATCATTAGGTTATGTCCACTGGTAACACATGAAGTCCTTAACTTTTCCCACTAAGGACTAACTTGAACCTTTACCTGATTCTCGTTGCTGTAAGATCCTTTTTTCACCTGAACTGAAAGTAACTTCTTTAGTAGTCTCCCCATGTCTCCTCAAGTCTCCTCAGGCCAGAAGTACCAACCATACAACCCAGAAGGAAAGAATCTACTGTGAACCAAAAATATATGCAATATGGCACTCCTTATGTGCTTAGAGACTTTGTTAATACTGTCTTAACTTCTTGAAAGATTATTTTAAATGTAAAGACTGGTACTGAACTCACTAAACCACTGGTGAAGAAGTATGTGGGTAGATGTGGTAGTACATCTCTCATTTTGGAAAAATCCATAAAATGCAGTATTTTTATTAGAAAGATTTAGTCAAATCAGTGATTAAGAAGATAAAAGATGAAAGTCATTTTTATATAATGTCTGGGAAAAGTCCCTCTCATAGCATATCCCCATACAGGAAACATATTATGCTTGTGCTTATACAGTAAGAAGTATGTGAACAAAAATTACCCAGCAGTAAAAAAGAGGGTATTCTTAAATAGAATAATGTCTAGCTGTATCTGATCTAATTAAGACAATAGGAACTATCAATCCCTACAACCTACTATAAGCATATACTTGTTACAATAAAGGACAATTTTTGAAGGTATGGGAAAATTTTTGTAGTATGGGAAAAGAATGCCAAATTTAATTCAAATACATGCCGCCTTGTTTAATTATAATGCTTAAGAAAATATTACAAGTAATACTTTAATATGACTGATTTCAATTCTGATTAATAGCTCATAATGTAGACAGCTACTACTGTAACTTAATTTTAGTAAAATTTCCGAAGTATAAAGCCTCCAAACAAATAGACAACACCTGACTTACTTCCAAGCCTCATTCTAGACTGAATTAAAAAATTCTTCCAGTCGGTGATTTAGCTCAGTTGTTCCACCACCTGCCTCATAGGGGCAAGGTCTTGAGTTCAATCCCCGGTACAAAAAAAAAAAAAAAAAAAAAATTCTTTCAAAGGAAATTGAGAATAGATTTTGAGTTCAGTGATAAATTAGCTAAAAATTCTTTGATCTCTAGCGACTGGTACAAACAGAGCTGGATTAAGAGGTAACACAAGGGTCAGGGATTTAGCTCAGTGGTTCCACCGCCTGCCTCACAAGCGCAAAGTCCTTAGTTCGATCCCTGGTACAAAAAAAAAAAAAAAGGAGGTAAAATGGATATATTTCCAGGTAATAATTACTACCATCTATGAACTATTCATGTGAATCCTAGGATTCACTTACCACAAACCAAAAAAGCCAGCTTCAGCGTGGTCTGTAGGTCTTTCAAAAACATATTCCTAGGAAGAGACAATACAGCAAACAATCTTCCCTGAAACTAGTTCATTTTATCATAGGCCCTATTCCCATAACCCTATTCAATAAACTCATCAAGTATTCAATCACTTGGGAAAATATCCCACTACTGTTTTCCTGTGGGTCTGATGATTGATGAGTCAGTCCACATCAGTTTCAAAACTTATCCGTACTAAAGTCACAAAACTCAAATAAGAGTAATGTAGAACCTACAGGCAGCTAAGAAATAATGAAAAGAGATGTGGATCTGAAGTCAGAAGATGGAGGTAATTCCTAAGCCAAGTTTTCCTAAGGACACAGCTCAGTACTTTCCAAAACAAGAGTTCTAATACAGCGCCCTTATGAGAATATGATGTATATTAAAGAATCCTGTAAACTATACCAATGTAAAGCTCTTTTAGAATACGGATTAGAATTGAGTTTTGAATCAAAAACAAAGTGAAAATTTACAACACAGGATTGAAAGGATGGAACTGTAATACTTGTCTATCTTCTTTTTTAACTGGATACGAAATCACCACTATCTGAGTACTCTCACTCAATCATTTATTTAAACGTTCATGTGTAACTTTGACTCTACACTTTCTCCAGTCGTTACCAAGACGGTTAAATCCAACAGCACAGATCTGGTTCGATCAGATTTAAACAAGACAAAGTTCATGGATTATGAAAACTGCGGTTTGCAAAGCAAATGTCTTGGCAATGTGAGTTCGCAAAGGAGGGCGCAGTGAGGGTCAGAGGCGCAAGACCTCGGACAGCGACGACCTGGGATCCCACCCCAACCCCTGCCGCCACCACCACAGGCCGCAGCGTCCTGCCCTTCCAGACGCGGAGCGCCAAACCAGAACTACCATCCGTCCCGCCCGCGTCCCTCGCTCCGCTTCCTCACCGTCTTCACCCGCAGCTTCGCTCAGTTGCTGTATGTGAGCCTGAGCCAGGTCACCGAGCTCTTCCACTCGCCTCACCACACTGGAAACTGCGGCCTCCATGGCCACAACGGGCTGGCGCGCCCCGACCACGTGACCTTGCCAGCCTGAGATCACCTGATTCCCACAGCATGGGCGGGGCGTGAGGGCGGAGCTCGCCTGGCTGGTGGGCGGAGACATCGACTCTGGCGAGGGCAGGTCTACATTTGAAAAGGTCGTTCGTGGTTATATTCCGCCTCCCAGCCTGCCCCTCCCTCCCATAATTCTGTGCGGGGGAGATTGTTAGGGCGCGTGTGACTCAACGGCACACCTCTATCTCCTGCCTTCTTCTCTAAACCAATTGGGAACCACCCATGCCACCGGCTAACCCAATTAAAAGACAGCTCTCTTTGGTCACGGGAAGGAGAGCGGGCGCCAGCGACTAGCTGGCAGGAAGAGGGCGGGCCCAAAGTTGTGGAGAAAGGATTGTCGCGTTTGGACTTGTGGTAAAGAAAGGTGTCCTAAAATGAAATGATTATAATGTCTTGCTCAGAAACGGAACCCTTCCAAGTCTAGGAGAAGCTCTCTAGGGTGAGGGAGGGCTCCAGACTCTAGTGGTCACTTTTCTAAATCTGAATGTTAGGAGTCGACCTTACCTAACAGCGTTGTTTTATGCATGATGTTTATCCTTCAAGAAAAAAATAACTTCTGTTTTGCATTCCCTCCCTGCTTTCTTGCCTCTGGTCAAACAAATCTTTAACCCTGTTAGTTGGTTTTACAGCGTGACCTGATATATGTTCAATAATTTGTGCCCTCTTATTTCCTAAGAAAGGTAGTGTTTTTTTTTAAATAAAAATTTCTACAAGTAGGGAAATACTGAGTTACAAGTGATTCACCACAATTACTTCCTTCTAACTTGCTTTGTAGCAGTTTCTTCCTCGGTCAATTCACTCTAAATGTAGAGGACAAGAATTGTGTATTATGTATTAAGCTCAGTGCCTGGCACATAAGCTTTCAGAAAATGTTTATTAACTCTAGTTATAATCAAGCTGAAGGCCAAGCAAGTTGCATTAAATGATCTCAGTGGGCTAAAGAATTAAAACTTCAATAAGCATTGGAACAACAGCGTCAAAACTTAAGTATATACTCTAAATAAAATTTACAACTCTAATGCTGCATAAAATAACAACAGACTTTTTACCAGGAAACATTTAACACTGGGAATTATTACTCAACTGATACTCTGGTATGTACCTATTTTCAGAAAGAGTTGAAGGAAATCTGAGAGTACATAACTCAGTCCTTCATTTCCAGATAAAGAAAATTAAGAGAATGAAACTATTCACCCTTCCAAACAGAATACATGCTTCTGTGATTTGTCCAAGATGATACCAAGACAAGTACCCATAAAAAGCTCTCTCATCAGAGATACAGGTAACAGCCATTACCATACCTACTAAATAAAATGCTTATGCTTAAAGTTAGAGAATCCCTTTACTAGAAAAGAAGTAGTTTTCTCCAACTTATAGTTATTTTTACTTTAGGTAACATTTATAGAACAAAGATACAATAATAAATGTTTATATTTCAGAGAAATTAGTAACTCACTCTCAAGGTACCCAAAATACCTTCCAAATGCAATAATTGATCATTTATACCATTTTCCTCACCACTGATATGTAATGGATAAAATCTAATTATGGAAAAAGTTTCTAAGGATCTTTATTTAAAAAGTAAAGTATTTTTTAAATATAACATTCTTGATTGCCCCTGAATTGCCAATACTTATTGTACCATTGTTTTGCAACTCTCCTTTAATTTCTTTATAGTTTTTGTGGAATGATATTTCTTCACATAAATTTTCCAACTCCCTATGAATAGGAATATATACTTTTTATTAGCTACCACCAGTGACTTGTATATAATAAGACTTCATTAAATATTTTCTCCTTTTCTCATTCAGTGGTCCTTTGACCCATTATTGGGTCTAACACTATGATAGATGCTGATAGAAGTAAATTAATATGATTCCCATCCTAGATTACTATATACCAAGGTAATGTAGAAATAATAACAGAAATTAATGCATAATTTTATATGCTATGAGAGAAAAATAGAAGGATATGATTTGATTTGAGGAAGTAAAGAATCTCTGAAAAAATGATAATAACATCTAAATGATGAATAAAATTAGCCAAGTGAAGAGTGTATCACTCTGCATCTAATTAGAAGAAAGAAAGCACACAATAATTTGAACAAGGCAAGTTATATATAAGGAATTACTAACTACAATGGGTTGGAGTGACCATGGATTGACTGATAAGAAATAAGAAAGCACTAAAGAGAAGCAATAGCAGGTATAAGAAGCAACAGTTCCTGCCAGGACAGAGATTCAGACCTTGTCTCATGATCATGGGTCCCTGGATGTAAGAGAAGTGACCGTGGTCCAATCAGTGAAATTTCCTGGAGCACCTGTCTTCTGGAATGTACTAAGGTTAATGTACTAGTGTTCCAGGGAAAGCTGTTCATGGGAAAGTATCTCACAGGAGACATTCTGCTGCAAAACTGCCCAAGATGAATTACAGAAGAAGCTGGTGGTTGCCATGCACTATTAGGAGTCTAGTGCCCTGAGAAGCTACATGTGTGTAGGATCACAGTGTCAAAAAGCTCCCCTGCTTCAGGAGCCTTCCAAGAAAACACACTGAAATAAGGAAAGACCTTTTGCTTCCTGCAATGCTGTTCTTATCCCTTCCTTTAATAAAGCTTAACATTGGATCAGTTGGAAAAGGAAAAAAAATATTTAAAGGACCCAGATATATTTGCACAAAACAGGACAAAAAGTTGAGTTGGAGTTGAGAGGCAATAAATCTGTATAAGGTACAGTATGGAAGAACATTTCAGGTGCAGTATATAATACATGCAAAGGCTGAGTTTGACAAGAGCTTGGCAGTTTGGAGGAATGAAAGAAAGCCAAAGGGTCCTAGAGTGAAGGGAAAAGTGGAGCAAGGTGATGTCCAAGAACACATGTGGAGATCATCACTTGAGTATATGCCTCCCTCACAACCATGGAAGTGTGTTACAGTGTGCAACCATGGTGGCATAAAGGATGTAAAGATTACTCAAAGATGAGATTTAGTTCAATTATGGAGAGGGCCAGAGAGGCTGCCTTTCCATATGAGAAAACCTCAGGAAAACAGCAACAAGCTGAGACCTCTGTAGTTATTTATTTGTAATTCAGGGACATGAAAACAAAGATGTAGAAGAAAAACATTTGTAACATTTATACAGTAAGTCCCCAATTTATGAACATTTGAGATGTGAACTTTCACAGGTGTACTGTAGTATAAGACTCACTTTGTCAGATATGAATTAATGCAACTTATGATGTTCTCCCAGAAGAGAACTTTTTCATAAGTCAGGGACTTATTCTATAGGGGTTTTGGTCAGAAGACCATGAAGAAATGGGATGGTTTGTTATGTGACACATGTTGACCTAATTTAAGAAATCTTATTGGAGCAGAGGAAACACAATGGCCAAAGCAAACACCTCTGAGAATAATTTATTGTTGATTCTGCTGACTGTTGTCCCATAGGTCTGCCTTAAATGTAACCATGCATTCCAGGAGCACGGGAATTGTTGTTCCAAGGTTCTTTGCTTATTGAACACACTTTGATCACTCCTTTGGCCAGCATCTCCCCACAGAAATAAACTCCAAAATCTGGGTATGAGCCTCTACTAGCCATTTATGTTAATTGATGCTGTCTTCTCTCCACAGTCAATTTATTTATTGAATTAGTTATTCAAAATTTAATTAATACTAGGCCTTCAGGGATGTCTGGTTACCATAAGGAGCAACAGACTATAAGAGACCTGGATCACATATAATCTTTCTTCTATACTTATCATGTGATAGTGGGAAAGTTAATTAAAATATCTAGACTGCAATTTCTCCACTTGTAAAATGAAGATCATGTTAACTCCTTGAGTTGCTGTGAGGGTTAAATTAAATATTCTATGTTGAATGTCAGTGAATTCCCCATCATAGTGAACAGTACAAAAAATAATAAATAGTAATTAATTGTCCATCAACCCTAGCCTTAATCCATGAAATCATGTTTTTTTCTGATCATATGCAAACCCTGGGGTTTGATCAGCAGCACTATAAAATTTAGGTAGATACTGTAAATAGGTAGAGGGTTTAAATAGGCATTTTCTATAAAGAAATAAAAAATGGCTAAGTAACACATGAAAATATACTTAGTATCATTAGGCATTGGGGAAATTCAAATCAAAACCATGATAAGGTGCCACATCATACTCACTGGGATGGCTGTAATAAAAATGTTACACAATAATATGTGTTGACAAGGATGAGGAGAGTTTGGAACTTTGATACATCACTCTTGGGATGAAATAATGCAACTAATTTGGAAAAAAGTTTAGTAGTTACTCAAAAAGTTAAATGTAGAGTAATTACATTATTACCAGGATTTGGGGTGTTGGAGTCTCCTTCTAGAGGTGATTTCTGGGTACTTTCTGTCCTGAGCAAAGAATTGTTGAAGATAAGCACAAAAGATAGCAAGGTTTTATGTTTACTAAAGGGTAGGAAAAGAAACAGACTGTAAGACTAAGGGCCTTACCAAACGCTCTGAGGAGCTGACTGCAGCGAATAACATCTGGGAAGGAACACACCGGACAAGATGGAAAGTAAAACAGACCTTTATTAGTCTGGCCAGATGGCACTCCCAAAGCAAAGTAGCTTAGAGAGGCAACTGGCTCAGAGTCTGAAGCTGTTTTTATAGGGGGTCTCAGGGGAAGTTGGCAAGCAGAAATACAAAAGCAGAGGAGAGGGATAAAACAGACCTTTTACAGATTGTCCTTAAAATAACATATTCAGATATGGAGGTGGGCAAGCATGACAGAACACTATGCACACAACAGACCTTCCTGGCACAACAACAAGCACATCCCTGGAACTTGATGTCTACCTGGTGATCCGTAACAGAAGCAAAAAGTTGGGGCCCTATTACAAAGATGGAGTAACTGTTGTTCAGTCTTACATTCCCACTGATTTTTCCCATAGCTGTGTAATCTTATACAACATTATCTTGGTATTCTTGCCTCCATCTTTGTTCTTTTTCATCTAGCTCACTTAAAGGATGATATTTGGCCTGTTGATTCAAAAATCATTAGGTGAACAGATCCTATCCGG